GAGAAAGGTCTTTCGTTGTGAAAATGTCTGTGCGCTTCAAACCTGTAGTCCACCCCAATAGTAGCCTTCAGCTGCCGAGCCCGTATGCCAGACTTAGCAGCTCCGTTATTCCCATCAGCCCTCCGCCTCCTACGGCTACTGCTCAAATAAAGCGTCATTGTTCAACAGTGAGAAGGAATATGGAGAACGATGTCGCTACTCTCCGCCCGTTAACGCATTATTCGTCGGGATTGAGTTGCGGAAGCTCAAGTCCTGAGCTACTGAATAAGCTATGGGTTACCACATGGAACGTATTTATGAAGCGATAGCGGTTCAATAAATACTAACGAAACATGTGTTACCCTAAATACTAAGATAGCACGACGATCAGCTCATCGCGGCCGTCTTCTTTCAACCTGAGCATGTAACAACATAATGGGATCGGTGGAATGCTCGGAGGCTCCTAGCCAAGCACAGCCATGTTTGTTGGAGTATGGCTTCCAAGATAATAAAGCCGTTGTCGTATCATAGCAGAACCACAAGTAGAAGCATAGCGGCTGCAGAGGGAATGGCTGTTCTTACCCTTCCGCCTATTCCCCACTGCTTCAGCCCTTTTCCTCGCTGTCTTCCGTGCAGAGGGAAATGCGGAATTGAGGAAGGAAGGGAAAGGAGGGAACGAAGCTGATTCGTGCAGCGGCAAATTGCATAACATCCCAAGGTCTTCTCATTAAGTGATACTATCGAGAGAAGTTCTTGGAGCCGCAGAATATCTTGGTATTGGCTGTCGATTTTGAATCACACAGAAAGCATCCACGTACCGACCCGTCCTTAGCGGGGGGAGCCGTCTTACTCTGACGAGATTCCTTACTTTATTCCTGCTAACGTATACTGAATATAGAAATCTCGTGTACACTTAGAAGGTTAGTCTTACAATTTGCAGCAATTTGCTTCTTACGAGGATCATGGGTTTGGCTGGCACCAGCCTCATGTCAACGTCGGTTTGGGATTACAGCAGCAACCATACGTAACCCTTCGACCTGCTGACGAAGGGGAAGTGGATTCGCTGCAGTGCTGTCATGGCTACACTCGCACACCTTCGACATTTTTCGCAAGCGCCGTCGAACCTGCTAGTGTTCACTGTTCGCGCGACCCAGCGACGGATTTGTACGACCAAAAACATCGCCTGCGACGCCTTATACGACGAACACCCACCACAACTTTGAACCTACGAGACTTCAGCCGACAGCTTGTTCGCTGAAACCCCTACACCCTGTTACTCGCTACACTGAACTGTGCCGAATGGGTGGAAAACCTTGTTATTTTCGGTTTGCCTAATTGAACCATACTGAAACGTAATTTAACCACCGTTAACCGTGCTTTTCCCATCTTGACTTCACTATAACCGATTTCACAATGACGTCCGCGGGGTATGCAGGCGATTTTCTGAGTAGCTCATTAGCTGCTCCACTCTCCGTGAGCATACTAGACAACTAGTCTTCTATTCTTCGCAGCATATCTGTGTTTTGCTCCAGTTTTGTTGCTTCGACTCGAATGGCTTCAGCGGGTATGAGAACAAACGGCTATGTGATACTTCCTTGTCCTCAAAAGTGCCCAGCCACCCCAAACTCCGCACTTTCCTGCTTGGCTGCCATTTCCGGCGGAATTCGCGGCGGCTGCTCTCGGGCCTTAATCACCGTATGCTCGCGGCTGCCTGACGCCGATTCCGACACAGACTCAGAGTGTGACGTGATAGTTCCTAGCGACCTGTCAGAAGACCGAAGTACGTTCAGCGCGGAGCATAGCTGGGGAAACGAGGACCTGACGGTTGAGGAGGTGGAGGGAGCGCACCCAGTGCAAGAGCTAGAGGAAGTGAGGACCAATCAATGACTGCGGATGTTATTTTTTCCTCCAAGAGTTACCTGGGGCAGTAAAAGCTAACGCATTTTTATACAAAATTGTTATTATACCTCTTACAACACGTGTACAGCAAATTTTGTTTGAACGTCTACTTATTCTATGTCCATCAAGGCCTTGGCAGATTCCTTCATCTGTTTGTGCGCCGCACGCTTTCCTATTTTAAGCTGGAGCTTCTTCTGCACCCGAAGTTGATATTTAGAAGCTTTCTTCTTCTTGGCCACACCAGACTTGGAATCAACCTGCCACCGATCAACAGGTAGTTAGGTAGTTACAAACCTCGAAAAGATAGCACAGGAAGGGGGGCTTTAGAAACTACTTGCTCGAAGGAAGCACACAACTAGCCTATCTATCTCTGCCTACCTTCATTTTCAAGGACTTCTCTTCCTTCTTCTTTTGCAGCTTTTCTTTCTGTTCCTTTTCTCCTGAAAGAAAGAAGGAAGCGCGTGTGCGAGATGGGGAGGAGAGGGGGATGTTAGAGAGAGATTTAGGGGGTTTTGGAGGAGCTAGGAGGCTGTCACGTTCTGAACGAGCACTTAGCCATTACAGAAAAGGACGGAGTCGCCGAGATGCTAACCCTCAGCTAACTATCGCCAAGCTCACTGCGCAGGACGACGCTCGTGTTGTAAAAAAGGAATCCGAGCCTCGAGCGAACCTTGGCGCGCATTGACCTACGCACGGCCTGTCGACTCCTCGTTCTTACTCTGTTGATCGAACTCGAGCTGCCGCTTTCTCGTCTCTCTCGACTTCTTTGCCATCTGTTCTGTCGACACGCTGAGGAACAGCGCGAAAGCGGCTAGAGGTGGGTGTCAAGGTTTTAGACTGCTAAAAAGCAGAACCGAGTGCAGAAGCTGGTGTCTGCTGTACTCGCTTCGTTGTATTGCAGTGCCTGTACAAGCCTGACCTTGGCAGCGCAATATCTTATTCCAACTTGAAGTTCTACAGCCAGTGAGTGCTTGGACTGGGGGGGCTTGCATGTGTACGCGCTACATAGTATTGCGCAATGACAGGAGGAAAACTGCATACCATTGTTCTTCAAAGCTAACAATTGCGTAACACTTGTACAGGAGAATACCATGAAAGATGTGGGGACGTAGTGGCAACCTGTCCTGACTCTCCGAATAACGCAACCACATGAAAGCGTTTCATCTTGTTGAGGCGAAACCTGCCCGTTGTCTCCAAACCCTGATTTGACAGCTTTTCCCCATCCTGCTAAGGGCGTGTCTGACGTGAAAAGGGCGGATTGTGAAAAAAAAAAAAAAAAAAACTGTACAGGTTTGACTGTATTTAGCTGCCCAGTTTCTTGAAATCACAACGTTCACACGTGTCTCCAAATGAAAACCAAGCGAATGCCGTACGGGTCCAGTGCAGTCCAGCATGCCTGCCCGTACGTACATGGTAGGACATAGGGCGCGTAACTTTTTCCGTTTCATTCAAATGTCCCGACGGAGGCCCCAAACCGTCCGAACAGAGCTCCGTCCGGACGATTGGGGATGTGGTACGGACGATGAAGCGTCCGTACCCCTATTATGACACTTTTTTGCAGTTGCGACAACTGCATCTTGAGCGAAAAAGTTACGCCTATAACCTATCTCGTCAGCAAATCGGCCGCTTCGCATGCATGCATTTGGACCAGAAAAAAACCAGACTATCGTGAGTTCCCTTTTTTTGGTGCTGTGGGTCTGTGTGCCCGTTCGGACGATTGTGGAACTTCTGTGTTGCCTTTCCCTCCCAATGTGGTTCTGGCGAGCGGGAAACCGAGTCGCCAGAACTGATGAAAATTGTGCTTCGCGCACCAATGACGTTGCAGGAGTTCCGGACGGTCCGAAATGCTGTCCGGACGACGCCAGGAGCGAAGAACGGACGATGAACCAGCAGAAAAGTGTCAGACGCGACGTCGCAAGGGGTCTTACGAACTTACTCACGAAACTAGACGAAAAATGTAACCCTACAATAGTCCGTACGGCTCTCCGTCCGGACGATGAAAAGTGAAAAAGTTACGCGCCCTTATCCGAGCAGCTTTCCCCCATCAGATTCACGTTTCAGGTGTTTCAGAACTGAGACCTGTGATGAAAAGCGACCGATCATCTCAGACTTCACGCGGATTCGCACAGCAGCAGACCACGTCCCAAAATCACAGCACACCAATATCACGTCATTTCATTTCACACGCAGTTACAACTCTCAACAAATCAAAGCACAGGCCCAGTTGGCAGCTGCCGAAGCGCGTGAGGGGCAAGACAAGACGTGAGAGGCAGTCTCAGAGCCAGCCAAGATCAGAACTGAGAAACGAGAATCGAGGAAGAAAAATCGAGGTTCGGGAATTTGGGGGTGAGTGAGCAACCACGTCTCTCCCTCTCCGCTCTCATAGACTTCCCCTTCCCTTCCTACCCCGCTCCCGCCCTCTCCCCTTCCCCCTCCCCCCCCCCCCCCCACCATCCGCCTCCCCCTCTTCCTCCTTTCTCTTAAGTCCCCAGAGGTATCGCCTGTCTGCCGTGTCTCTCGACTCACAACACGACCTGGCAAGACTGGGATAACGGTGGGGTTACCCTTGGCTTCGAGCTTCGGTACAATGCGGTGCTCCTCCCGCCACAAGATGCTTCCAGATCGTGAGTCGTGTCGTGACCAAATGACCATCGGGTTCCACCTTGGGGACGACTGCCCATTGGCAGTGTTGCGCATAGCGACAATCTCCACGCACTACTGCAAGCGCGTTTCACGGCGGAGAATTTCTCCGCTTTACCTTGCCACACGATCCCAGATTTTACTACTAGTAGGCTCTCCTGATAATTTATTATTTTGTTAGTACTCTTTAAAGCGATAGATATTCGGTAATGGCTTGCACCTTTCGCCGACGCCGCGGCATTCGAACGGCACGGCACAACCACGTCATCCCTGGGCGGCCGAGTCCACCGTGGATTGCGGTTGCGATGATGCTTGTGCGGCTGCTACTACTAGCGTACTACACGCCATGCTCGGGGGAACTGGACGCGAATCCCGCGCCGCCCGCGCGGAAAGCCTCAGATACAGGGTTACTAAGTTCGTCCAGAAGTAACGGGCTTAGTGGAGGAAATACTGTTACAAGTAATGGTAGAACCGTGCGGAATATGAAAAGGCCTACTCTGCCTATTCCCCTCCGCCCTGTCGGGTGGCGGAACGCGAATCACGCTGCTCCAACGCCGCTCCTGCCTGTTTCACACGGGCAAGAAATTCCCGCTGGACTCCGCCACGTGGCCGCACCATCCGCCGGAGATCCCGAGGGCATCCGCGGCGTCGCGCGCGGCAACTGGGCGTCTAAGGGAATGATCGGCGCAAGGCGGTGGCAATGGCGGGCGGGAAAGAAAGACCTTTCAGCGGAAGCCACGGGGGAGGAGGAGGAGGACGGGGGAAATACGGCCGCGCGCACCGCACCTCGATCGTTGTCTCAAGCTGCTGCTGATTCGGGCGATACTAATACAGGCAGCAATATAGGCAGCAGCACTGTCGATAGTAGTAGCATCATCCAGATCGCAAAGCTCAAGAGGGGAATCGCGCGGCCCATTTCCGTCGCAAGTGGAGCCACTAAGACTCCCCTTTCCACCTCATCCACGTCAGTTTCTGCGTCATCCACGTCATCATCCGCGTCTGTGCCAACCCCCATTGGCATCAGCCCGCATTGGAGCACTTACTGTACGGATCGATGCGGTGTCATGTGGAAGCCAATCCGAGTGTACGTGGTGTGGTACGGTTACTTCTCCGAGTCGCAGAAGCAGCTCGTTCGTACGCTGACAAGGTCGTTCAGTCCGAGCGACGATCCATCCGTTACAGTTCCCCTCTGGTGGAACATCAACCGGCTGTACTACGATCAACAGGGGCGTTTCATCTCGTCGAATGTAACGTGGGTGAAGGAGAAAGATGACACGGGGTACTCCCGAGGGAAGTCCCTGTGGCTGGATGACGTGGAAGCAGTGGTCTCCACGGCCATTAATACGAGCGAGCTGCCTTATGACGAGGATGGAGTGTACTTCGTGCTCTCGGACCAATACGTGACCCAGGTTAGCGAAATGGTGTGTTTGTGTTTATACCCCTTCTCTTTCTTAATCTCGTCGTGTGTGCGTCCCCTGCCTCCTGGTCTCCTCCCTTCTTTCTTTGAAGTCTCTGAAGTTGCAACCTCTCCCCGTTTCTCGCCCTCCCTCTCCTCGCCTTTCGCCCTTCTCGGCCCTCAACGCCCCTCAACGCCCCTCAACGCCCCTCAACCCCTCTCGTATGAAGAAGTGTTTTGAGACGTCTCAAAACCTTCCGGCTTTCTCGCCCCTCAACGCGCCGCAACCCCTCTCCCCTTAACCCCAGCAATGGAGCTCAACGGATAAGCTCTGCGCCACGTTCTAGGGGTTTCACTGCTTCGGTTGCTCCCTTCTTCCTTGAATATCTCACAGCATGCAGGTTTCCCCCCTCCCTCCCTCCCTCCCAATCCAACCCCCTTCCCCCGCAGCAATGGAGCTCGACAGACAAGCTCTGCGCCACGTTCTGCGGGTGGCATATCTTCGGCTCCTCCCTCCCGTTTCCCTTCATGATCTCTCACCATGCAGGTCCCCCCTCGCCCATTCACACATGCCCCCTCCCCCCCTCCCCTTCCCCCAGCAATGGAGCTCAACGGACAAGTTCTGCGCTACGTTCTGCGGGTGGCATTTCTTTGGCTCCACGCCCCTTCACAACCCCCGCTCTTCCCCTCTTCCCCTCTTCCCTCCCCCTCTCTTCCCCTCATCCCTCCCCCCTCCCCTTCCCCGCAGCAATGGAGTTCAACGGACAAGTTCTGCGCCACGTTCTGCGGGTGGCATTTCTTCGGCACGGCGCCCTCCCGCGGCACCTTCATCTACTCCTGGGTCGGCCGCGCTGACCGCCTCGTACGTGCAGGTGGAGGGGGGAAGGGGAGGGAGGGGGGGGTTGTTGGGGGCTGTAAGGGGCATGGGTTGGGGGCATTCGGTTGAATGAATCCCACGGTGCCTTCATCTACGCCTGTGTCGGCCGTCCTTCCTGACCGCCTTGTGCGTGCGGGAGAGGGGGTATCGGGGGCTGGTGGAGTGGTGGGGGGGTGAGGGTTAGTGGGGTGGGGGAGGGGTGTTTCTCGCGCATCTGGTAGCTTCATCTACTCCTGAATCAGCCGTGCTGACCGCCTTGTGCGTGAAGAGGGGGGGGGGAAGGGGAGGGGGTACTGGGGGCTGTCTAAGGGTGATGGGGGGATGTGTCCCAACTTGGTGGAGTGTCGTAGGGGGTCTTGGGAGGACTTAGGGAAAACCTGGGGTTTCTGGGGACCTTGGGGTTGAGAAGGAGGGGAAGTGGCGCTTTGTGCTCATGGTGCTCATGGTGCTCATGGTGCTCATGGTGGTCATGGTGCTCATGGTGCTCATGATGCTCATGATGCTCATGATGCTCATGGTGCTCATGGTGCTCATGATGCTCATGGTGCTCATGGTGCTCATGGTGCTCATGGTGCTCATGGTGCTCATGGTGCTCATGGTGCTCATGGTGCTCATGGTGCTCGTGGTGGTCGCCTCCTGTGTCGCTTGTCTCCCTCTGTGCCCTCTGTGCGCGCCCCTCCACCCGTCCAGTGCCCCACGTCGTGCATTGCAAGTGACATCCGCACGGCCAGCAAGGCACCCAACAAGGATGTGGGCATGGATGCGTTACTGTCGGTGTTCGCGCACGAACTGGCAGAGGCCGCCTCGTCGCCGTTCGTGGGAACGTGGTTCGATGAGCAGGGCGAGGAGAATGCGGACAAGTGCGCGTGGAAGTGAGTAGAGGGCGGTGGTGTGAGAGAGATGTATGGATGGTGGGGTGAATGGTGGGGATGGTGCTGAAACGAGATAGTGTGCGTAATTAATCAGAGTTTTAACGGCACCACGTGATCACGTGACCCTTGATCACGTCTTAAAGCCCTCCCTCTTCCTGTCCCTTGCATCGCAGGTTAACCCCATCCTCACGGGTTCCCCAGGAGGCAGATACAACCTGGTCGGAGTCAACAGAAGTCAACAAGAGTCAACGGCTCCAAGCTCCTCGTGCCCGCACCCCCCTCTCCCCACTTTTGCTTGCTTTTCCCCCTCTCCCTGTCCCTTCCCTTCCTGCATCCTGCGCGGCAGGTTCAACCCCATTCTCACCGACTCAACAGGAGGCAAGTACAACCTGGTGGGGGTCAACGGCTTTAAGTTCTTCATTCAGCACAACTGGGATCTCACCACTGGCACCTGCCAGCTCACCATGCCATACCCCCCCGCCCCTCCTCCTCCCCCCTCCCCTCCCTCCCCTCCTCCGCCTCCCTCCCCTCCTCCCTCGCCTCCCTCCCCCCCTCCACCGCCCTCTCCCCCTCCCTCACCCCCACCCCCTCCCCCACCTCCAAGCCCCCCACCTCCCTCTCCTCCTCCCCCCTCACCACCTCCTCCGTCTCCCCCTCCTCCCTCTCCACCCTCTCCCCCTCCCTCCCCTCCTCCTCCCCCCTCGCCCCCGTCGCCCCCACCTTCCCCCCCTCCCCCCCCTCCATCCCCTCGCATGCGCACCCTTCGCCCTCCTCCGCGTCCCCCCAAGAGCATGGGGGAATACGTGCAACAGCTATTCAAGAAACTCTGGCCGAATCGCCCATAGTCAATCAAAGTTGTTCATGATTAAATGTTGTACAGTCTGTATGGTACACCACCTTAAGTGTTGTACAAAAAACACAAGTACCGTGATTGCCCCTGTTGTGTTGTTGATAACTATCAGAATCTGGAAACAGGAATGAGAACAGAAGAGTGGGGGTTGTACTAGCATGCAGGTGGAGTACATATAGGAAACCCTAAAAGGGTTGTACTTTTTGTTGAGTACCCTACTACAGCCTACACATCACATTACATTCTGACACACCCTCAATAGGCAAAGTGGGGTATAGTCAACACAAAAAGCAGTCGCATGACTAGGTCATAAGCAAAGGCTAGTGGCAAAATTAGAGGGCAAGAGAGGAGGAGGAGGAGGGACTATGAGAGGAGAGGAGGTAGGAGGCGGCAGCTGAAGCTGCTGGCACACGGGCGACTGGAGCAAGTGGCACACAGGCTACCAGAGCAAGGGCATCCGGACTACTGGAGTAATTGGCTCCGCGGCTAGACGAGCGGCTGGAGCAACTGACCCACGGGCGACTGGAGCAACGGGCTCACGGGCTAGCGGAGCAAGGGCATCAGGACTACTCGAGCTGCAAGCTTCATGACGGCTACCTCCTTTCAACCTCCCCCCATTGTCCCACACCCCCTTCTGCATCCCTAGCACCACTCCCTCAGCTCCCCCACACCCTCCCCCTCTCAGCGGCAGCTGCAGCAGTAGGGGAGAGAGGAGGAGGAGGAGCAGCAGATTACTCATACCCGCCACCCCCATACCCTCCCCCTAACGGCTGCACGCGCAGCATGGAGAGGAAGGAGAAGGGGGGGCGGGGAAGAAGCTGCCCCGCGGCAACAACGGGGCGGCGCGCAGGTGCCACGGGGCGGCGCGCGGGTGTACCGGGGCGGCGCGCGGGTGCAGCGGAGCGGCGCGCGGGTGCCATGGGGCGGCGCACGGGTGCCACGGGGCGGCGCACGGATGTAAGCAAACCGTCGCGCGCCCAGCAGCGGAAGCGAACGGTGGGCCCATTGAGGAAGGCTCAAAGAAAGAGCCTGCTCTGAATACCATGTCAGAAACTAACGAGCAGGAATGAGAACAGAAGAGTGGGGGTTGTACTACTAGACAGGTGGAGTACATATAGGAAACCTTAAAAAGGTTGTACTCTTTGTTGAGTACCCCACTATAGGCTACACAACACATAACATTCTGTCAATAACATGTGAGGCCATGGGTAGCGCAACATAATATTAGCAGACAATCAGAAGCTGGTGAAATACTTGTTTAGGGATACGGATGGGACCAAGGCAAGCACTACATGGTCAGGTGATACCCTAACTTACAACCATCCCTAACCCATACACCCTCCCCATCCCCCTGTCCCGCCACCCTTTCAGTACCGTACACGTCAAATCTCCGTTAACGATTGTTCAAAAGAAACTCTTTTTGCAACCAATGTCAGAAGTCCACTGGTGATCCCCGATTGATCATAGGGAAGGGTTACAGGCACGTTGGCATGGGGGGTTAAGGACGCACTCACCTACTATAGAAACAAGCTCTTTTATCCCAGTGGTTGTGGCTGGGATTCTGACAACCAGTACAAGACATCAATGTAAAACTTTTCTTTCTTTTTTTGTTATCCTCTCTTTTCTCTCAGAGCTCCACTCGACTCAACATGGATAAACGAAAGGCCAAGCTGGGTATACATGATACATGCAACGGCGGCAGGGGCAAAAACACTGCTGACTAGCCCTGCCGGTACAGACACGGGCACGCAGACAGCACCGGCAACAACCCCCTCCATTCACAACGATAGCCCCATCAGGCAGGGACAACCCTCCATCTATCCCGTCTAGCAGACCAGGACCCAGGTAGATGGGGGTTGTCATGCAATGCAATCCCCCCCACCCACCCCACCGCACGCACCCCCCCATTCCCCTCCCCCCCACACCCGTCATCGCTTCCCTCTCCCCCATATTTTTCTCCATATCTTTTCCAGATTTGATTGCGGCGGGGGGGATTTAGGCGGAGGGGGGGACTTGGGCGGCGGGGGAGGGGACGCCGGCGAAGGGTAGGGGAGAGTGGTGGCGCAGGTACCAGTGGTGAGGTCCCAATTCTGTTGAATGAGGAACTTAAAGCCGTTGACCCCCACCAGGTTGTACCTAACACCAGAGGCGTCAGTGAGAATGGGGGCGAACCTGCAGTGGAAGAGGCAGAGAGGGACAGAAAGAGTGGTGCGGGACTGGGCAACCTGTGAGGATGGGGGGAACCTGTGAGGATGGGGAGGAACCTGTAAAAGAGGATTGCAAACCACGGGGGAAAGGGGTGGAAGCAAGTCTTTAGGATGCACCAAACATTCGTGAGAAACAGTTAAGCACGCACACAGATGAAGACAAAACAGCAAGGCTACTCACTCTCCCCAACCACCCCCTTTCCCCACTCACTGCCAGGAACATTTGTCGACGTTCTCCTCACCGGCGCCATCAAACCACGTGGCAATGAACGGGCTTGAAGTCGCCTCTGCCAGCGCATGTGCGAATACGATGCACCACAACGCACGTTCATGAAGAACAATCGACCACTCACACCTGCCAGTCACTCCCATCCGCCCACTCACTGCCACGAGCACTTGTCGGCGTTCTCCTGCCCACTCCCATCGAACCACGTGGCAATGAACGGGCTCGACGTGGCCTCTGCCAGCTCATGTGCGAATACCGACAGCAGCCCATCCATCCCCGCGTCCTGTCTGGGCGGCACCGCCCCGCTGGCACGCAGTGTTCGCGTGATGCAAGACCTAGGGCATAATTTTGCAGCGTTACCGACCCAGGAGTACACTATGCTGCCGAAGCTGGAGGCTCGGCCGTGCCAGTGCCACCCGCAGAAGCTAGAGCAGAATGCTGGTTTGCTGCCGCCCGGCATATCCCACGCCTGGGATACGGTTTCATCCGAAAGCACGAAGTACACTCCGTCTTCGTTATAAGGAAGCTGATTGGAGGAGATTGCGTTGGTGATGAGGTTCCTGACGTCAGCATCGGAAAGAGCCTTGCCTCGGGAATAGTTTGCATCCTCGACCTCGCCACCCCATGTAACGGACTCGGAGATGTGGTTACCACTTGAGTCGTAGTACAGACGGTTGATGTTCCACCAGAGGGGAACTGCATGGAGCGAGGGCGAGGAGAGAAGAGCAAGGGGAAGGATGGGGGATTGGAAGAGGAAAGAGGGGCGAGAAGCGAGGGGAACAGGCTGGTTCAGGAACTAAGAAGAGAGCCTCAACCTCTTGCAATTCCTGTCATTGCTTGGTTACAACGAGGGGCCAACACCTGTCAGTGCTTGCAACGAGGGGACAGCACCTGTGACGGATGGGTCGGCGTTCGGGCTGAGCGACGCGGTGAACGCGCGGACCATCTGCTTCTGCGCTTCGGAGAACGCGCCGTACCACACGACGTACACGCTGATTGGCCGCTCCATCACCCCGCACGCGCGCCCCATGCAACTCGCGCTCCAGTGCGGGGAGATTCCGATCGGCCCCTTCCTCCCCTTCCCCGCAGTCACCGCCTTTCTCCCGCCCCCCGTCGCCCCGCTGGTGCTCAGCGGGCCGACTGTGGCGGCGAGCGCGTGGCTTGCGGCGGCGGAGAAAGGGGCGGGGGGCGTCGTCGCGTCATTCGCGTCGCTGTACAGGCGGGATGGATTATGGTTCGGGAGGGGTATAGACGCGAATGGGGCGCATAATTTACGCAAAAAACTCGCTTTTCCAGCAAAAATTGTCACGAAATCTTGCAATAGTATCTATCTAGTCCTGACTGCGGCGTACCCAGGGATGATTGTGAAGGAATATATTAGAGAGCGTAGCGATAGCGAGAGAGTCTCTGCTATGGGAATGATGTTGCGCCAGCAACTTGGTAGAGTTTTGGTAGCGTTTGCCTCTAAGGACTTTGTGAGAATTGAAGTAGCATTTGGGCCAAGTAGAATTGCAATATCAATTATCAAACACACAAGCAAACACAAACATATATAGGCAAGCAAGAGTTGCACAATTGTTGCGTGGCGCTGCGAGTAACCCAACCCACACGAAAGTGCTGTGCAGGTGGGTGAACGCGCCCCGCACATTTCCAACCCAACTCAGCACCGGAATGTCTCACCGTGCACGCTACTCCTGCCAACACAGCAAGTGAGCAGCGTGCCTCACAAGCAAGGCACCTACGACCCCCAAGACTCGTCATTCCTAGCACCGATTCCGCCGAGTTCGCTGCAGTAGCTCACAGTCACCCGTAGTCACTAATGACCGCCACCGAACTCGTGCGTCGGTGCCGAGTAGACTCAGTCGTTAGGCGCCGACCTGCCAAGTCAAAGGTCATCGAGGGCCCTTGCTGTCGTAGGGCCCTCTAACAGATTGTGATTATCCAGGCAAGCAAAGAAAAGCATTCAGTGTGATTATCTCTCAACCCAGGAATCGCCTGCGGCGCACCTGAGAATCGCGGCGATGCCGCTTGGAAAGGAGGTTGCGGCTGCGCCAGGGGTCGTCATGGTCGCGACCTTGGGATTACCGATGGGCGGCGTTCCCTGCTGGAGGCGAATCAGCGATCGCGATGCCCGCGTGCGACTGCCACGCGGCGACTCCTGCGACTCTGGGCGATTGGTCCTGATCGGTCGCAAGAACACTGGCTTATCGTCGCCGGAAAGCTCCTTCGCGCGAGCGTACGCCGACGCGAATCGCTCTCGGCCAAGCGGAGGAGCTTCCGCCCGAGGCGCTAAATGCCTGCGGGCCGGTGTATGGCTGCTAATTCGTTGGCTGGCGGTTAGCGGAGCGCGTGAGGCGGCAAGAAGCGCGGCGACGAACAGCCAGGTTGGTAGTACTAGAATATTGTGATGGCGGAACAAGGTGGAGATCGTTGGCTGGTGAGTCGAGCGGCGCCATGGAACAGCCATGGCGACTACGGTGTGCGCGGCGTTCTGCGGAGGCATTCGGAGTTCGATTAGAAGCAGAACGAAGCGCGACGAAAGAAACTGCTGCAGTCACAGCGGCAGCAGTGGCGCTTTTGGAGAGCGGCGGAGAGCTCACCACCACCACCATGCCCAAAGGTGCAGATTGCACTAGGGGTAGGTGCATATAGCTAAGCAAGGGACATGGTTCTCTTGCTGACCTAGATTTCCTCAACGCCTAAATCACGTCATCACTATGTCGACACTGTACAGACATACGCCAATCTGTCAAGCGTGGCTGTGGTTCCGTCTTGGCTGCCAACAGAGCGACTGAGATGAGTTGGTTCTTTTGTGGTTGATGGTGCAGGAGCACGAAGGGAGGGACGGGGGTGTGTGTGTGTCGCGTCGCGATGGTCGTCGGTCGACTCGCAGAAGCTGGGCATGGACGGTCTGGGGGGGTGCGGCAAGTGAGAGAGGAGCAAATGTATGGTGGAAAATGGGTTGCTCTTTTCTTCCACCTTCCCTTCTATGATTCCACTCTCGAACATTTTTTGTAGCGTTCAGTAAAAGCAAACCTTTTCACGCTACTCAGCTAAAACACGCGCAGCTCTTGGCGCTAGGCTCCTTGGAAGTGTACTTCCGCCTTCTTCAAAACCACCTTCGGCAAAGTGACGGGAAGGGTGAGTACCCATCATTCCATAGTGCAGAGATATGAACCTGTGGTGCGGCGTGCGCTCCAATCAAAGTTGGGTGAGGTTCCAGTTCAGTCGGGGCGGGGGAAGGCTGGGGGGGAGGGGGGGAGGGACAGTCAGTCATCAGTCAGTCAGCCAGGGAATGGATTCCTCGAGTGTCGATCGACTGGACCCATAAGGGCGTGTCTCCATTTTGACCCCGACGGTTCGAACCGTGGACGGTCCGAAATGCGAAAAGGTTACTAAAGTCGCGTAGTTTCGTGACTTAGTTCGTGAAAGTGTGTGCGACGTCGCCAACAATTCGAACCGTCGCGTCACTTTTTACTCCTTTCAACGGTTCAGAATCTGAACCCTTGACAGTTCGGAAACCAAACGGACGGTGCAACAGTACTAACTAGAGATTGGCGCGCGATTTTTTCGGAAAATATAAATAAGATTGGCTTACGAAAATTACTCGTGAATTGTGTAACGACGCTACAGTGTCTCCAGCGAAACTACAGTACTTCGGGAAATTCAAAACACTGAAAAAGGTGACAGTCTTGCACTCAGACGGGGCAAAGTTCCGAATGGCAACTCGGACAGTCCGGTTTTCACTATTCGGACCGTCGGGTACAAAAAAAAGTGAACCGAAAATAAAATTGCCAAAAAAAAAATAGACACGCCATAACTACTGTACAGTACACGTACACTGTTGGCGCCAGGGGAAAAAAAAGCCAGTTGTTGGGATGTCCTGCGTGGGATGGGCCATACTCCTTGCCTTCGCTCGGTTTGGCTGGCAGCAGTTTCGCAAATCTTTCGCATCCAGTGGATAAGGTGATGGGTTAGGCATGGCCTGTCTTCATTATTGAGAACCGTTAGCAGGATACAGACTGCAAGTCACTGTAGTAGTATGTGCACTCCATAACACCAACGGTCTCGACGATTACGAACAAACCACTCATCGCTTCATAATTGATGAAATTTGAAGTATCAGTAGCCTAATATGAAGAAACGAATCACTTCTCACAAAGGATACTTTGCACCAAGTCAACTTCCTTTTGTCCTCTTGATCACCTTTTTGCCCCCTGCCTGTTCGAGTCGAGAATCGAACGGCAGCTTTGCTCCCTTTCTCCAGTCGCGGAAAATCCACGGTGGCAACAACACCAACACGCAGGCAGCAGCACTGGCAACTTCAAGGCTTGCTGTTGCGGCAAGCTCCAGGTTGATTCATCGGAATCTGAGATCTCGTCTCGTCCGTCCATCGATCAAGCAGAGGAGATCCCATCCCAAGCTTGTGTTTGTTGCTATGGAGCCAAAGCATCACATCACTCTTCGAAAAGCAGCCTTTCCTATAAATCGACGGTCCCAGTAGTTCTAATCACTAAAGCAGCAGTTTCTCTCATTGCAGTAGTTCCTCTCATAGCGTGCGTCGTTAGGATCGATCACAGACAGCCCAAATGGCAGCACATTGGCCCGCCGCTCTCATTCTGCTGCTCGCCATCGTCAGCGCTGACGTTACAACCAGCGCACCTGTCGCCAATTCAGCGATTTTTTATGTCTCTCCGGCGATTAAGCCTGCCGCCGTTCCTGCCGTACGAGACGCCGCCTTGACCGCCGCGAATATCGGTCGCAAGGGTGGCAGCGGCATTGCCGGCATTTCCGCAGCCGCCGCCGGCGGAAACGGCGGCGCGGTCTTCGTTGAGAGGAGCGACGCCGCGTGGCCGTTTGCATGGGGTCGCAATGCGAGCGACGGCAGCGGCGAAAGCTACGACGCGGGCGACGATACCAGAGATGTGATCAGCGAGTTTGGCGCCATGGCGTGTAGCGCTGCGGGCTTGCTTCGCTCCGAGCGTGCAGGTTCCGCCAGAACCGCTGCTTTAGGATTCGCCGATCAAGCTAATTTTTCCAATGAAAGTGCTGCAGCTGCTTCTGCTGCCAATGCTCCCACCAATGGCGATGCTGCTGGTAGTGGCAAGGGCGGCGGATACACGGCGCCGAAGGACCATCGGACGGAGCTGCGGTGGGACGTGTACAGCATCAGCGGCCTCATTCTCACAGCATGCGTGAGCCACTAACGCGTATGAGCCCCCTTGTGGGCGCGGTGCGACGTGATCGATATGCGATCGGATCTTCCCCTCTTTCCGGACCTCGTTTCCTGTCCAAATTCGTCCCTCAATTCTCCTTTCCTCCCCCCTTTCCCCCACTCCCCCCGCTCGTGCACTCCCTCCTGCGTGCTTCTCCGATCCTCATTTTTAACCCCTACATCCTCTCCCGCAATTCTCCCCCCATCCTCCGCCATCTCCCGCCTCCTCCACCCCCTCTCCCCCCGCGGCAGTGCGCGCTGCTGGCGAACGCGGCGGGGATAGGCGGGGGGCCGTTCTACATGCCGCTCTTCAACTCCTTCCTCGGCTTCACCGCCAACGCCGCCACCGGCCTCTCGCACACCATGGTCGCCTCCAGGTGCCGTGCTCCGCTATAGTCACACATCGTTATTGTCACACTATGGTATAGCCTCCAGGTGACGTATAGCGCTTATCGTTATAGTCACACAAGGTTCGCCTCCAGGTGCCATGTTCCGCATACAATGTACCTTCATAGTCACGTCATGTCTGCATTATAGCGTCACGGTCACGCCCCGGTCGCCTTCAGTGCCGTGTTAAGACCTGCCTGCATCCACCCATCACTCTGCGCCATCCTCTGTCACCCACGCCACGCCCCAGTCAACCCCCTCCCCCCTCCCCCTCCCCCTCCCCCTCCCCCCACACACAGTGGCGTGGCGAGCACGTTTTACGGGCTGATTCAGAGCAGCCCCGCGGACCCATCACAGCCGTTGATCGACCTGCGCCTGGCGCTCACCTTCACGCCCGCGCTGCTGCTGGGCGTCAGCTGCGGCGTGCTGCTCAACCCGCTCCTCCCGCCCTGGCTCCAGGTGCCGCCCTTCCCCTTGCTGCTTCTGCTGCTGCTGCTGCTACTGAAAGGTGCGGCCTGTGCTGCTGCCGCTGGTGCTAGGTGATGGGTGACAGGTGCTGCCCGCGCTGCTGCTGGGCGTCAGCTGCGGCGTGCTGCTCAACCCGCTCCTGCCGCCCTGGCTCCAGGTGCTGCCGAGTGCCATACAACAGGGAGATCAGTAATTCTGGCGTGGGCTATTTTTGCTCACAGAAACTGTTTTGTAGGGCTTGCTACCACAATGCACCCCTGGAACTGAATAAAGAAGAAATAGCCCATCGCTTGGCAAGGGTCTCCTGGTCGCGTCGCACCTCAAGTCCCCGAACCTCTTCCCCTTCCCCTTCCCTTCTCCCCACTCCCACTCTCTCTCCCTTCTCTCTCCCTCCGTTCCCTCCCTGGTCCACAGACATCCCTACTGGCGGTGCTGCTGGGGTACGTGGCGAGGGAGACGGGCATCAAGGCGAGCAAGGCGTGGGAAAAGGAGACGCAAGCCGCCACTGCCAGGCACAACCAGCAGCAGCAGCACCCTTCCACCGCCTCCGCTTCCTCTATCAACACACCTCTTCTTTCACAGTCAGCAGCAGCAGCACCTGCTCCCTCCTCTTCTGCCCCCTCCTCCTCCGTCCCCGCCCACGCCCCTTCCAAGCGGCGCTGGTTGGACCCGTCCAGTGGATCTGGGCGGCTGACTGACTTCGTGGCTCACACTGCCGCCCAGCTTCTGCCACTTGTGGGCCTTGGCGGTATGTGGTGGTGGGTGATGGGCAGGCGGCATGTGGGTGGGGGGCATAACCTGACATCCATGTCAGGTGGCTTGTCATCCATATCCATGCCATACCCGTAAGCCACGCTGGTGATTTTTCCGAGAATCCCTGCCCACCCGTTTTCCATCGCCCTTTGGCCCTGTCTCCGCCAACCCCCCCTCCAGTGCTGTGGGTGGCAATGATGGCTCTCGAGCGGGGCCTGGCCGGCACCACCCGGTGCAGCCGCCCGTTCTTCCTCTACTGGGCGGCACAAACGCTTCTGTGCTTCGCTGCCACTGCTGCCATGGTGGCCTATCAGGTAACGCCACGTGCTCCCCTCGCCTATCAGGTAACGCCACGTGCTCCCCTCCCCTTCGCTCCGCAACCCCTTCCCTAGAAAACAACCAACCCCTTTCCCCCAGCTTCCGTACCTTTTTCGAGGTTCAGGCATCCACCAATCAGCCATCTCGCCTGGACCCTCTCTCCCTCCTCTCCCCTTTCTCTCCCCCTCCCCTTCTCTCTCCTCCTCTCAGGTTCGGGCGGCGTCCACCAATCCAGACGCAGAGGGGGCGTCAGCACTCTCACGGGTGCTCATGGCGGGGCAGGCAGAGGAGGACGGGGCAGGCGATGATGAAGTCTTGGAGGCCCGGAGAAAACGGGCTGCCCGGAAAATATTTAAGGTCAGCGCACGGGTAGTGTCGCGTACTCTCCTCCCGCACATGGCTCCTGCACCTCTTGCTTGTTCATCTGTTCATCCGTCCTGCACAAGCCAATTATCCTTCCTGATCATTCTGCTCATGCTGCTAGTACAGGCTCTGTGTTACTCGCTGCACTCACAGCCTATGCAGCGTCCTGCAGGTCGCAGCTCTTGCTGTTGTTGATCATGTGCTCGTCTCCCCTCCCCAATGTGGCACGTGCTTGTGTGGTGGTGGCAGGTGGTGGGGGTGATGGTGGTGGCGGGAGTGATGGCGGGGGTGTTGGGCATTGGAGGCGCACCGCTCTTCAATCCCTTCATGCTCACCCTTGGCATTCCGCCCCAGGTACCACCACGCGATGTTTCTCCAGGTACCACCAAGCGATGTTGCTCCAGGTACCGCCGACCTATGCTGCCCCCCAGGTATTGCTGAACGACTCTGCCCCAGGTACTGCCAAATTCTTTTGCCCCAAGTACTGCCGAATAAATCCACCCCAGGGATTTCTGAATGATTATGGCCCAAGTAAGTCTTTCACGACCACGCAAACCCCACTCCTTCTCACTTCCCACACGTCCCCCCTTCACCCTCCCTCCAGATCACAGCATCAACGTGCGTGATGATGGTGCTATTCGGAAGTGGTCGTGAAGGACTTGTGCAACCGTCTTGTGCCGCTGACCCTCAGTAATGATGGCACCATGCCACTGCACCAACCGTCTTGTGCCGCTGACCCCACTCCCTCTCACTTCCCCACTTCTCTTCCCCTAAACCCAAACCCGTGTGCCCACCCGCCCTTTTCCTCCCAATCTCCTCCAGAGCACAGCATCAACGTCAGTGATGATGGCACCATGCCACTGCACCAACCGTCTTGTGCCGCTGACCCCACTCCCTCTCACTACCCCCTCCCTCTCACTACCCCCTCCCTCTCACTTCCCCCTCCCTCCTTCCAGATAACAGCATCAACGTCAGTGATGATGGTGCTGTTTGGCAGCAGCAGTGTCTCCCTCTCCTTCCTCTTCCTGCACCGCCTCAACCTCGCCTATGCTGCCATCTTCGCCCCCACCGCATTCATCGCCTCCCTCCTGGGAGTCACAATCGTGGGCCGAATAGTCAAGAGCACCGGCCGTGCTTCGATCATCATCTTCATCCTCACCGCAATCATTGCGGTGGGGACCACGCTGACTGTGGTGCTGGGCGCGCCAAGGATTTTCGACGATGTGATGCATGGCAGGAACCTCTGGTTCCACTCGCTCTGCCCTGCCAAGAAATGCTTATGAATGACTCGTGCTGGGCTGATAAACTCTCTCCGTTGCTCAAAGGTTCTCTCCAATTCCCTTGTACTGTAGTTTCTTTTCCACATGCTGATGCCAGAGCTCCCAAATGCTGATAAAAGCTTTTTTCAAAAGATGCTCTCCAGTTTGCTGCTAGATGCTCTCCCAGCCGCTACCAAACTGAAGCAAGCTCTCAATCAGCCTGCGGAGGTGGAACAAGCTGGATTAGGATGTGGGGAACAGACGGCACACCACAGGCCGTGAGACAGCCTGCCTTACGCACGCAGGGAAGCACTATCGCAGGAGCACGGGGCAGCCATCGCATTGTGCTCCCACAGGAGAGCTAGTTCAAGTCTGTCTGACCTGGAGATAGGGCCAACCATTCCTTGCCCCAGCGAGGCATGGATTCAGATTCAGAGACAATGTGACGTGTAATGAGCGCACTTGTGCTGCGGAATGGAAACTGCACAGTGCACACACACATGTACTAGCGTCAGTACAAAGAGGGTCGGGATCTACAGGAGCAGGTGGTCTACTAAGGTACGGACCTGCAATGACAGCTGAGCTGATATATACCGTACTAGGTGTCCTCTTTCCTAAAGCAATGGCCACCATTGCGTTACTCCCCTCCCCTACACTAAATCCCATGATCCCATTGCACCGGCTCCCATTGCAATGACCCTCATGGCCCCATCACCCCACCAGCATCACCACATGATGGATTGCTGAGACATCGAGGTTGCACGGGCCACAAGAGTCGACGCTTGCCGCCCGTGCAGATAGGTTGAGAGATCGATGGGCAGAAGCAGGTGGCCATCAAAGATCATATTCACTCCGGGGTACGCCGGGCGGGAGAGATCGTCCTCTTCCTCCTCTGATGTGAAGCTTGGATCGCGATTTGATTGCGCATAGGGGTCCTGGGGATCATCTTGAGTGGCTGCAAAGCTGGGCAGTGGAGGGAGGGCGTAAGAGCAAGAGAAAAAGGGAAAGTTAGGAAAAACGAAGCAAAAAAGGAAGAGTGAGACGGTGAGTGGAACAAGGGGATCAACTTCCATTGTTGGGTCCCTTTCCTGAGGGGCATGGAAATCACATAAACCACCCATACCTGGGAGCTTGGTTCTCGGGCAGGTACCAAAACTCTGAAAAGTTTCGGCTCAGCCGGTGCTTCTGCCCCATCCTCCCCCTCCTGTCCCCCGCCCTCCTCCCCCCTCCCTTCTCCGCATCCACTGCTGCCACTGCCGCCGCAATCACCCCCCCAATCTCCCCTCTCCTCCCTCCTCCCCGCCCCCCACCCCTCTCCCCTGCTCCCCTCCCCGACGGCGACGGCGGCACGTGCCTGACAGTCCGTCTGGGAAGCAGCACCGAGAAGGGAGACGCAGCAGCAGTGGAGGCGGCGAAAGAAGCAGACCAACGTCTAGAGGTGGACCGCAGGAGAGCCACATTCCCGGTGTAGACAGCCCGGGAGACAGGTCCGTGCTGGCGGTAGTCAGAAATGAACTCCCGGAGGGCGGAGCGCAGGGAAAGGGTGGAGCGGCGCTGCGAGGCGAGCTGTGGCGGGGTGAGCATGCTGTGAGCGACCACGGCGTCGCACACCTGGCAGCACAGCTGCGTGTCGAAGAGGGGGATGCCGAACTCTACGCTGTGTGCCACCCACTCCCCCCGCTGCCGCTGCTGCTGCTGCGTCTGTGAGAGTCCCCCGGCGCCTACTGCTGCCCCGTCTCCTTCACTGACGTCTATTCTCAAGCTCCCTTTTCCACTGGCCGTGCCAGTGCCAGCAGCACCCCCACCTTCCGCATCCTCCTCGTCCTCGTCCTCGTCCTCCCCTGCCTCTGTTCGGATGACTCTAACGAACCCCACAGCATCCACAGCCAGCACCTCTGCTGCTCGCCTGGCTGCTGCCACAATTGGCGACTCCTCCTCCTCCCTCTGCTGCCCCGCTCCCTGCACCACTGCCCCTGCGCCATCACCGCCATCACCACCAGTGCTATCACTTACCCCCTCGCCCTCAACTCCCTCACTCCTGCGTCCCTCGTCGCCCCCTGCTGCACCACCCACCGCTTCCCCAGCAGTTTCAGTACCCCCCAGCCTCGTCCTTCCTAATGATCTCCCCCCTCCCTGCGGCTTCTGCGGCTGTGACAACACCCCATCAGCTGCTCGAGCCTCACTGGGGTCAGGCCGAGAGCGAGGGGGCAGAGGGAGAGCAACCGTTGCAATATCCGGCTCCCCTTCCTCAGTGAGACACCCCACGCCCTCCCCCACCCCCTCCACTGCCCCATCCGCACCCCACAACCCTCCCTCCGCTCCCCCTCCCCCTCCCCCTGCTGCTCTCGCTGCTGAGTTCGACCCAGTGCGGGAGAAACCAGGAGCAGGAGCAGGCGGGGCGGCCAGAGGCTGGATCATCACAGCAGAGTGTCTCAGCAAGCTGTTCACCACATGCAGCAGCACGGTCCCAGGCACCAGCGACCCTTCACTCTTCGCCCCCACTCCCCCGACCCCCATCCCATCCCACGTCCACACCAACGCCTTGTCACAGGTCACCAGCGGCGGCGGCAGCAACCTCAGCCTCAGCCCCCTCATCAGCACCACTGAAACCGGACCAGAGGCCGTTTTCGCGTAGAGGAACAGCTTCGCCCACGGGGAGAGGAACGCGGGGGCGGGTGGGCCGAAGTGAGCGGGGCCGGAGCCGTCAGGGACGACGGCGTTGAGGGGCTTGGGGAGAGGCACGATGGAGACCACGAGGTCGAAATCCCTGCGCAGCAGGCGGTGCAGCGTGGCGGGTGCTAGGCCCTGTAGGCTCTCTGTTCGCAGCACTTCCACCCGGTTGAACGTGGCTCGGTTAGACATTGCTGCTGCTGCTGAGGAAGATGAGGATGATGGTGGTAATGGTGGTAATGTGGCTGCAGCGGGAGGGGGCGGGGCAGCAGGAGAAGAGGAGCCGTCATCGTCGCCTGCGTCTGCTGCTGCCAGTGCCGGGTACGACGCAGCCCGTGGGTGCAGCGGCTTCTCCTGCAGCCGAGACCCCTCCGAGCCTGCCGCGCTGCTGCCTGAAACACCATCAGGTGCGGTTGCAGAGTCGGCATGTGAAGAGGTGGGTTGCGATGCGCTGACAGAGTCAGGGAGGGACTGGGAGGAGGAGGAGGCGACGAGGTGGGAGGGGATGGGGAGGGGGAGGTCTGAGGGGTCGACAGTAGAGGCAGAGTCAGCCACACTGCGCGTGGACCAGGTGTCATCCGGGGCAGGCGCATCTGCAGCAGCAGCCCCCACAGCCGCCCCCTGTGCAGATTCCGAAGAGCCTGGAGGGTCACTGGCAGCACTGGGCTGACTAGAGAGTGAAGAGCGAGGGGCAGGGTGGGGCGGTGCGATAGCTGCTGCAGTGGCGGCGGCGGCAGCAGAAGAAGCAGGGCGGGGGGTGAGGAGGGCGGAGGTGATGTCAATGGTGCCGGTGCGGAGGCAGGAGAGGGCGTATCGGAGGCTGAAGGCGTGGTCCGTGAACTTCTGCAGCTCGCCCTCCAGCTGTGTCTTCTCCACCGCTCGCAGCTCCCCACACAGCTCTGCTACACTGCGCTCTGAGAGTTTTCCTGCTTCAAACAGAGTCACCGCGTGCTGCTTTAGTTCTGAGAGGGATGTGGGGAAGCAGGGGATACGTGGGGGACAGAAGAGGAGAGGCTGAAGGCGTGGTCATTGAACTTCTGCAACTCGCCCTCCAGCTGTGTCTCCTCCACGGCCCTCAGCTCCCCACACAGCTCCGCCACACTCCTTTCTGACAGCTTGCCTGCTTCAAACAGAGTCACTGCGTGTTGCTTCAGCTCTGTGGGGGACGTGGACAGTCGGCACGAAAGGGCGGGGGGGAGGAGCGAGAGGGGGAGAGCAGGGGATGAAGGGAAGAGGAGAAGGTGACAGCCCGGGCAATGAATGAAAGGGTTCAGCATCTGTGCAGCTCGCCCTCCAGCTGTGTCTTGTCTTCTCCACCGCTCTCAGCTCCCCACACAGCTCTGCCACACTCCTTTCTGACAGCTTTCCCCCCTCAAACAGCGTCACTGCATGCTGCTTCAGCTCTGAGAGGGGCAGGGGCACAAGGGAGGGGTAGGGAAGCGGGGTCCTGGCGAGAGAGGAAGAAGGGAACGGGAAGGGTTTGGGAAGAGACGTTTGATTTGCACGTCGCCCTCACACCCACTAGGGAACCCTTGGCACCCACACGCTCTGTTTCTGCTCCAGCTCTGGGCGAATGGAGGTTGGACGTTGGTGGAGGGGGTTGAAGCCCAACATATGCAAAGGAGAAAGGCGAAAGGCGGTGCCTCACCATAGGAGAAGGAGCCCATCATGAGGAAGGACGGACGTGAGGTTGGCATCCACCATGAGCGCCTTTTGAGGCACCTCAGAGCTCTCGCCTCACTAAGTATAGGGACTTTAGGAGAAAAGAGACAGGGCATGTGTGCCTCACCGTACGAAAAGGAGCCCATCATGAGGAAGGACGTGAGGTTGGCGTCCACCATGAGCGCTATCCTCAACCGGTCCGCCCCCCCGCCCTCCCCCCACCCCACCGACTCCATCTTCTTCCACCCCACTACCTGCCCGCCCCCCACTCCCTCCAACCCCCCCTCCCCTCCCCCCATCCCCGCACCCAACCCCCCGTCTCCAGCACCAAACCCCTCACTGCCGAGGCCCCCATCGCTGGTGTCCCCGTCCCCCCCCATGTCCATGTGGTCGAGGAGCGAGTGCAGGTCGAGGACCTTCTCGGCCCACCCCAGGCGGCACGCGAGGGAGATGGCGGCGCCTAGCTGCCGCACGTCCGCTTGGAGGGTGAGTGCCATCTCGTGCACTGTCGCCTGCTCGCTGGCTGTGACGAAGAGAGAGTAGAGCAGCCTGGGGCAGTGGGGAAGGAAGGAGGAGAGAGAAGCTTCATTCACTGAGCGGATGGAGGTGTTCTCATATATAGCACTGACTGTGCAGATGGGCTGCGGTAACACCGAAAGCTGAGGGCATGGGTGAACTGAGAGAGAGACAGAGGCAACAGAGGCAGGAGGTCGAGGCAGGAAGAGGCAGAGACGTACTTTTCAGAAGCGTCCTCGCCTTGCTGGTTCCTGTTGGACACAAAGCCCTCCAGCGATGACACTGCACAAAGTAGGGGGGTTCGGAGAGGGGGGAGGGGCAGAGAGGAGGGAGGGCGGGAGAGGAGAAGGTGGCAGAGTGAAGAGGAAGGCGGAGAAGAACAGGTACGCACCAGAACAGGTAGGACAGGCATGGGCACTGCACTGCATGCTCGCACTGCAGTGCATGGTCTTGACAACAACCAGGCGCAGCGTGGAGGCAATCATTGCGGTAGATCATGCAGACATCGAGGTACACAAGCACTTGCAGTGCAGCGAGCGCACACCAGAACACAGCCAGATTACGCCCCCAGCACTATTTGCCCCTGACGCCATTTCCCCCTGCCACAGGTTATGTCCTCCCGGCACAGGTCGTACCGCGGAAGCGGTGGTTGGGGTAGACAGGGACGTCCAGATACACGAGTCCCTTGCAGTGCAGCGCGCGCATACACACCTGCACTTTATGCACGCCAAGCAATGCACGCAACCAGGCGTACCACGGAAGCGGTCGTTGGGGTAGACGGGGACGTCAAGGTAGACAAGCCCCTTGCAGTGCAGCGCACGCACGAGGTCGTCGTCAAACTCGCCCGCCATGCAGTCTCCCTCGTGCCCGCCGCGCTCTATCACACTCAGCTCATCCTCTGTCAGCCTCTGGTGCCGTGCCGGGATATGGGTGATGAAGGGGGTGCGTGCGACGAGAGGGCAAGTGAATGTAAGCTAGAAGAGGTGGGAAGGGCTAGATGCATGAGAGCATGAGACCGTAAACGGATCTGACAATTACCGTGGGTTAAGATTTTCGCCCGGCCTCCTCACCTCGCAATGTAATCGGTACCCTGTACCCTGTACCCGCTTTAGGCTCACTCTGTACTCGTCAGCAGTGAGGTTGACGACGCAGACGAGCCACCAGGGCTGGATGGGGAAGGGCACTGGCTCCAATGGCAGCATGTCCTTCACTATTCCGCGGTTCACCCTCCACATCAGCTGATGCTCGCTCAGGGGGGGTTTGGGGGGGGGGGTGGGAGAGGGAAAACGGGCAGAGGAGGACAGATACCGATTCAGTAACGCAATTGTACAGTTCCATTCCATGTGATCAGATTCATGTCACCAACTCCAGCGGCAGCATGTCCTTCACTATGCCCCGGTTCACCCTCCACATCAGCTGATGCTCGCTCAGGGAAGGGACGGATGGGCAGGGAGACAGAACGAGAGTCGGCGCGGGATATAGAGAGACTGTCAGTCCAGGCAAGATCTTATTTAAAGTGAAGATGCAGCATGAAGGCATGAGGTCATGATGGCATGATGGCATTGGATGCATGAGTGCATGGGTGTATGCAGGGAGCGGCGGGCCACCTTGGCGCGGGCGCGGTTCATGATGTCAATAAACTGGTTGCGCCCGATGCCCGTCTCCCTCAGTGCATCCGCTGCTGTGAAGTTGGGAATTGTGTCGTAGGACTTCTCTGCACGCGGCGCACATGGGAGGGGGGGGAGGAGGAGAAGGTTAAGTGAGGCGGCTAACCCATGCAGCATGCCAGTGCGACACAACACTTGCTGTGCCCACCCTTCTGCATCCACATCGATTTCTCCCGTCACACATTCGTCACAGTCACCTCACCTTGCTTCATGACGTCACAGTCACCTCACCTTGCTTCATGACGTCACAGTCACCTCACCTTGCTTCATGACGTCGAGCAGCAGGTCGCTATAGTAGCGGAAGGGGGAGATGCGCAGCACACGGCAGATGTAGTCCGCCAGGTGGTACGGGAATGGCTGCCACGCACCATCATCAACACACACACACACACACGGATACAAGCATCAACACACATGATGTTTCAGCCGACTCAAACGTCAGCCAGTTGGCATGGGAAACGGCTGCCAGGCACGAGCATCCACCTAGACACGGACACAAGCCGATCCCGCCCACAGTTTCTCAATGCAGGCTTCATTCTTCCCGGAATCGTACGCATTCCTGGTCTACAAAGTTTCTTGATTGTCCGTGTCATAATTGAGTCATGAGTATGGGAGGCGAGGCGAGGCGAGACGCACGGCTTGGGTCTTGCGGCCGTGCGCGATGAGCTCGTTGTAATAGTCCACCTCGCGACACACGAGACGCGCGGGACTGTCGGGCCAGCGCAGCCGCAGCTGGAAGCAATGCTCCTTGATGCTGGATTGGGGTCGGATTTGGAGCATGGGAGGAGGGGAGGGAGGGTCGCGTTGAGGTGAATGACGAGGAGGGAGCTATGGAATTGTCGGCATTTTCAATCGTACGGCTGAGAACGAATGACGAGATTCAGAAACTTGCAGATTCGGGTGATCGTACAATCTTGACAGCGTGGCTGAGGCGTCACAGAATTCACGACAGAGATATAAAAAGCTAACGCCTTTCACCTCTGTTAGGAAAGCGCAGTGTTGGTCAGAGCTTTGCCAATGCCAATGCTAGAGCACATACCGTCTAATGTATTCTTCGTTCGAGCCTAGAAAGAGTTTCGCTCGTTTCGGCAGCTGGTCCCATGGTACGCCTTCACGAACGGCCTTCGATATTAGCTGTTCTTCCATAACGGCGTCTTACGACGTGCCGCGAGTGAACATGAGACGGAGATTCTGGCGGAAAGTACGAAACTGGAATTTCCAGAGGCAAATGTATTGGATGTGAGGCGCCGAATGAAAGGGAGGGATTGAAACAAGATCCTTTAGCAAAATGGCGGTATTGCGCTGTCTGATGCTCGCCTACGAGCGCACAGCTTAGCTACGAATGTGAAATGCCATGGCTCTCTGTGAAGATGAGAGCTAGAATGAGGTGGCAAGGTGTGGGAAGAATCTGACAGAGGAGGCGACGGATGACTTGGAGCAGGGGGGACTCCTGGGGAATATCGGTGGAATAAATACGCGATATTGCCTCTAGCGGCACAGATAAGAAAGGCTTCAGAAACAGTGTTCGTGGTTCACTAGAGTGATTAGCATATACGACAGTTCTGGTTTATAAATTGACATCCTGACTGGTGTTTGGCTGGACTTTCTTGAGCCAGCTTTGGCTCCTCGCTAAGATCCAAATAAGGCATTACGCCTTGTAATTTGCACCAATGGTTGAACTACCATTTAGAGTGAGATGTGTTGATAAATATTTTGTGCAATTCGTTCACATATTCAGATGGTGTTAGCTAGTGTAGCTAAGGTTGTCTGGAACAAGATGGTTCTCAGCGGAGCAATCCTCATCAGCCCCTCCCTGCTTCTGACATGTCTCTGTCTGCTAGGAGACATGTCAGATTTTCGAGTTCTAGCTTTCTTGGTCCGAGTTCGAAGCTATCCCATTCAGGTCCCGAATTTATTGCATTGAGCAGCTAGCGACCAACTCATACTTCGTGTTTTCTCTCCAGCGCTCACGTTCCTAGCTGTATCTTTTTCGGATTTGGTTTGCGGGGCTTCTGACAGAAAATTATAGATCTTGCAGAAACATTACGGTTTCTATTCGGCTCCTTGTTTCCTCACACGTCGTCTGAGTGCAATCCGAATCTGGCAAAATGTCGGGGAGCTCGGTCACTCTCGCGTTGGAAAGGGTAATCCTAGCAATCTAAGCAATCCAATGGTTACGTAATCAGTCGCAAAACGCTCGAGCTGCCTTCGCATCTGTGACTAACTTCCGTCGTTAACATTTCGTCGAATGTCCTGGCAGATAGCGAGCAAGGATAAGGATTTTCGTTACATGGGAACATCGGATCTGCTGAACGAGCTGAACCGAGACACGTTCCGCATCGACCCGGACAGCGAGAAGCGCCTGTGCCACGTGGTGCTGCAGCAGCTCGACGACGCCTCGGGCGACATCTCCGGCCTCGCCGTCAAGTGGTGCGTGCCGTGCGACATCGTCGCTCATGCATGGTCACTTGCGTGGACGGTCCCGGTTCCCGGCATCCAGTGTTTGGTTTATGGTTTGAGATTGTCCTAGATAGAATCCACACTGACAGAATTCAAATGGTCGAGGAAAATGCCTGACAGGCGAAATCGAATCTCGTAGTCATTCAGTGGCGCCAACTCGATCATGTTTTCCCGCGTCTGGTCTGCTGCGTGTTTCCCGTTTCCGTCACCTGACGTTTTCCGTCAGCCTGGTGCCGTTAGTGAAGAAGGTGAGCGAGGCGCGCGTGGCGGAGATGAGCGCGGCGCTGGTGGGGAAGCTGCTGACGGGCAAGGACCAGCAGCGCGACATCGCAGCCATCGCGCTCAAGACCGTTGTGGCCGAGGTCGCGTCGCCGCCCGCCATCCACCACCTGCTCGCGTCCCTGCCGGCCAGACTCACCGCTGCTATCGACTCCCCGGTGCGTAGCAAGGCGTGAGGGTCGCGTTGCTGGTTGAATTCAACTTGAGGATTGATTGCTCTGCTGCACGGGTTGTTAATGGTGTTAGATTGACCATCCGCCCGCCATCCACCACCTGCTCGCGTCCCTGCCGGCCAGGCTCACTGCTGCTGTCGACTCCCCGGTGCGTGCATGCGAGGCGTAGGGTTTGCGGGTGGCGTTGCTGGGTGGTGTATGCGGAGTGGATGGATGGATTTGTAGGGGTTGTTTGATGGTGTCATTCTTTCGCCACACCAACCCAACACATCCCTTTTCATTGCTGCACTGCGCATTACCACACCACATCCCTCCACATCACCCCACCCTACCCCTCCGCATCATCCCGCCACATTCCTCCTCATCACCACGTCTCACCCATCCGCACCACACTTCTCCGCATCACACCGTTCCTCATCACCGCAATGCATCCCCCACGCTGGGCAGGACACGAGCGTGGACGTGAAGGGCGAGTGCCTGGACGTGCTGGGAGACGTTCTGCAGCGGTTTGGAGTGGTGATGGCCGGTGACCACGAGCGGCTGCTCGTGCCCCTGCTGCAGCAGCTCTCCTCCCCCCGCGCCTCCCTCCGCAAGCGAGCCACTCAGTGCCTGGGTATGTCTACAAGGCCGTATCATCCCCAGACCAACATGCTAGCATCTTGTGGCGTAGCTGTCTTTGTAGCAGCCACAATGAACACGGCGTTCCTGCCCCACCAACTCCTTCCCATTGCACGGGTCATCAGCTGCTATCTCCCTGTGTTCCTTCACCCATGTGCATGTTCCCCTGTACTATCGCCCTGTGCACATCGCTCTCTCCCCCGTGTGCGTGTGGGCGAGCAGCGAGTCTGGCGGCGAGTCTATCGGACGACCTGTTGGCGAGGGCGACCAACAGCGTGGTGGCACTGCTGCAGCGCACTGACCTCAAGCCCGACATGACTCGCTCCTACATCCAGATGGTCGGCGCGCTCTGGTATGCATGCTACACTGCAGATAGTGTGTGTGTGTGTGTGGTACGCCACTCGGCGCTCTCTGGTACGCCACAGTGCTCTGCGTGTTGGTAAATGCGCCCTTTCAAGCCCGACATGACGCGCTCCTACATCCAGATGGTCGGTGCGCTCTGGTACGTACGCCCCACTCTGCTCTGCTGCCCACATGGTTGGGGTGGGACTCTTTGGTACACCGTGCTGCAAGTTGTGCAGTGCTGCAAGTTGTGCAATGCGTTGGCAGGACATTGCACCAACCAAATCGTCTATCAATCAACTCCTCCGCTCTCCCCCTTGTCCCCCCACTTCTCGCGCTCCTCCTCCCCTGCCAGCCGGGCGGTGGGGTACCGCTTTGGGCCGCATCTGGCAGTGGTGCTGCCGCTCGTGGTGGGCTTCTGTGAGGGCGCCTCTGAGAACGACGACGAGATCCGCGAGTACTCCCTGCAGGTGCGTTCCTTTCCTCAGGCTCTTCATAAGTCCCAGGTTGAAGGCGTCTTGAAACTAGAATGAATCCTGCAGATCTGTGTCTGTGACACGGATCTTCCTTCTTCCGTTTATGATGCAGCTCTTCATTACCGTTGTGTCTGTGCGTGCCGGCATTGGAGAGCTTTGTGGTGCGGTGTCCCAAGGACATGGCAGAGCACTGCGAGGCGATCTTGTGTGTGTTCAACGTGATCCCTTGGGCGCCTCAGACACTAACAGCACCACCTGATTCCTTGTCCACCCCTCTGTGCGTGCAGGCATTGGAGAGCTTTGTGGTGCGGTGTCCCAAGGACGTGGCAGAGCACTGCGAGGCGATCTTGTGTGTGTTCAACGTGATCCCTTGGGCGCCTCAGACACTAACAGCACCACCTGATTCCTTGTCCACCCCTCTGTGCGTGCAGGCATTGGAGAGCTTTGTGGTGCGGTGTCCCAAGGACGTGGCAGAGCACTGCGAGGCGATCTTGTGTGTGTTCAACGTGATCCCTTGGGCGCCTCAGACACTAACAGCACCACCTGATTCCTTGTCCACCCCTCTGTGCGTGCAGGCATTGGAGAGCTTTGTGGTGCGGTGTCCCAAGGACATGGCAGAGCACTGCGAGGCGATCTTGTGTGTGTTCAACGTGATCCCTTGGGCGCCTCAGACACTAACAGCACCACCTGATTCCTTGTCCACCCCTCTGTGCGTGCAGGCATTGGAGAGCTTTGTGGTGCGGTGTCCCAAGGACGTGGCAGAGCACTGCGAGGCGATCTTGTGTGTGTTCAACGTGATCCCTTGGGCGCCTCAGACACTAACAGCACCACCTGATTCCTTGTCCACCCCTCTGTGCGTGCAGGCATTGGAGAGCTTTGTGGTGCGGTGTCCCAAGGACATGGCAGAGCACTGCGAGGCGATCTTGTGTGTGTTCAACGTGATCCCTTGGGCGCCTCAGACACTAACAGCACCACCTGATTCCTTGTCCACCCCTCTGTGCGTGCAGGCATTGGAGAGCTTTGTGGTGCGGTGTCCCAAGGACGTGGCAGAGCACTGCGAGGCGATCTTGGACCTGGCGCTCAAGTACCTGAGCTACGACCCCAACTTCACTGATGACGCCATGGATGGCGACGGGGAGGGCGAGGGCGAGGAGGAAGATGAAGATGACGAGTGAGTGCGCGAGGGGGGAGGGGTAGGGCGGTGGTGTTTTGAGTCCACTGGGGAATCAGCTCAAAGAGGGATAAACTCAGCCATCTCGTACCTGAGCTACGACCGCAATGCCACTGATGATGCCATGGATGGCGAGGGCGAGGGCGAGGAGGATGATGAAGATGATGAGTAAGTGCGCTGTGTCAAGGATTGGGAGGGAAGGAGGAAACCTGAAGAGGAAGGGGGGAGACGGAGGGGGAGGGCGTTGGTGGTGACAGCTTAGGGTTGTGTGCGTGCCATACCCCCGGGTCATCAGGCCCATGCATGCATCTACCATACCCCCCTGAGGCATCGGGTCCGTGCATGCATCTATCATCTGTACCCTCCGCCCACCATGCAGGGACGAGGAGGAGGAGTGCAGTGACGATGAGGACGTGAGCTGGGGTGGTATTGTGTGTGTATCATGCCATCTGCCATCCGCTGCACGCATGCATTGACACCCCTTGGTCATGTGCGCCGTGCAGGGACGAGGAGGAGGAGTACAGTGACGACGAGGACGTGAGCTGGAAGGTGCGGCGAGCAGCAGCGCGGTGCATCGCTGCCATCACCACATCTCGCCCTGAGATGCTATCCACGCTCTACGCCAAGGTCAGCTGCTGCTGTGCCCCCAGCATCCAACCCCGCTCTCTCCATCACCATGTCTCGCCCTGAGATGCTCTCCACACTCTACGCCAAGGTCAGCTCCGGCGGCCCAAAACTTTCAACCTCAACCCTCGTGTGGGGCTTCCAACCACAGTTTCTCGACCCTGTCCCTTGAACTAACACCCTCCCCGTCCCCTGCCAAACACACATTTAAACCCTCAACCCGAAACCCTACTCACCGCTTTGATTAGCTTTTTCACACCTCTAGCACCTCCGTGCTCTCATTCCTCCCTGTGTCGCCCCTTCTGTGCTCCCGTCTCGCAGGCGAGCCCGAAGCTGATCGAGAGGTTCAGAGAGCGTGAGGAGAATGTCAAGGTACGAGCAGTGCATTCACTCAAATAGGGTTACTATCTCACTTGATGCGAGCCCGAAGCTGATTTTTTCTTCTACCAGGCTGAGGTTGCTAAGTTTGTCTACGCCTATGTGTTGTTCTGCCCACCATGTTTGCCCAACTTACCCATCCACTCCCCAAGCCCACAACACAAACCCGTGTCCGCCCTTTTCTCCCTCCACATGCAGGTGGATGTGTTCAATGAGTTCATCGACCTGCCCAGGCAGACGTCTGAGTCGACTCACACGTCGATTCTTCAGAAACCTTATCTTCTCTCTCTCTCTCGCTCTCCTTTCCCCCCTCCTCTCCCTCCACATGCAGGTGGACGTGTTCAATGCGTTCATCGACCTGCTCCGACAGACAGGCCACGTCACCAAGGGCCATGCCTCCCCTGCTGATGTGCCACCTGGCAGGTACCACCAGTGCGGTAGGAGTGAGTAGGTAACACCTGCAGGATAGGAGCGAGGAGGTGATGATATCTGCAGGGTGGTACTGGGCAGGTAACACTGGTCACACTGGGGGCGCGCTGGTTCACCACCCTGCTGAGGAGGCTTCTGGCTGTCTGTCACAGTCACAGGAGCAGGCACTTATAACTCCACGCCCTTCATATGCTCCCCACTCCATACCTTGCTGCCCATGCTGCGCCTCCCTCCTCCCCCCATTCTCCACGTGCCACCGCCGCATCCCCTTCCACCCCCCCCCCCCCACCGCGGTGTCACCACTCCGTCCCCTCGCCTCAAACCCCCGGTGTCACCACCGTGTCCCCCGTTGCCTCCCCATGTGGCGCTGTGTGTGCAGCCCGCTGGCAGTGTTGAGGGAGGAGGTGCCTCGCATCGTGCGCTCGCTCAACAGACAGCTCAAGGAGAAGTCGCTCAAAACACGGGTATGTGTGTCTAATTGCGGGGGCATGGGAGGAATAAGCTCATAGGGCTGTGTGGGATGAACTTTTGAGTTGACCCAACAGGAGGTGCCTCGCATCGTGCGCTCGCTCAACCGGCAGCTCAAGGAGAAGTCGCTCAAAACACGGGTGAGTATGGGTGCGTGCGTGCACTGGTGGGAAAATGTGAGAGGAGCGCATGGGGCTGTGTGAGTGAGGGCTTTTCCGACTCTTCCACTCACGGTTTGCAGTCCCTTGCTCTTTCGTAATGGCACGCCATCTGTGCGTCACCTAAACCTGTGCCTGTGTGCTGCCATGGGTGCACAGGTGGGAGTGTTCAGTGTGCTCAAGCAGCAGGTGCACGGTTGTTCAGGTTCCTCTTGATCCATTCGTGCATCACCTTCCCTTGTGCCTATCTGCTGCTGTGCGTGCAGGTGGGAGTGTTCAGTGTGCTCAAGGAGTTGGTGCACGTGCTGCCCAACTGCCTCACAGACCTCATCGCCCTCCTCATCCCCGGCATTCAAAAAGCGCTCTCTGTGAGTCCTCCTTTCAGCGTCTCAGAACTACATTTCAACTTGCTCTCAGGCCTCTAAAACATGCCGTCTCAAGCAGTATCTTTTTATGACTTGCTGCCGCCTCGCCACCTGCTGTCCACTTTGAAGTGAGTGAACTCCATGTCCGCCCTCCATACCCCTCTTCCTCTGCGTCCCCCTCTGCCTTCCAGCACCTCTTCCATTCCTTTTTCACATTGCTTCTCTTCTTTCCACCTCTCCTTCACGCTGCCCCATATTTCATGTCAACCCTGTCCATGGCATGGCATGATGGCATGGCAGGACAAGGCGTCCAACTCCAACCTCAAGATCGAGGGGCTTCTCTTCACTCGCTTGGCCATGGCCTCCCACCCGCCCCATGTCTTCCAGCCGCACATCAAGGTGGTTCTCTTCTTTCACACACATCCACTCTGGTTTGGATACGTATCTTCCCAGCAAGTCTCACAGTCTAGAGTGAAGCAATGCCTTGATTCGTGCTGCTAGTTCCGAGCACCCCCCGTATCCTCCCCCTCCTAGATCCCACTCCTTCTCACTTCCCCTGAGAATCTCCCCTGGCCCTCGTCTTCTCCCTCCACTTTCTCTCTCTTCTTGCCAATCATTCATCTACAACTCCCCCATCCGCTCCCCCATCCTTCTCTCATCTTCAATCCTCGAAGGCACCGCTTTCCAACCCCAACCTCCCCGTTCCTTCGTGGTGTGTGCAGGAGCTGGCGGCGCCAGTGGTGGCAGCGGCAGGAGAGCGGTACTACAAGGTGACAGCAGAGGCGCTCCGAGTCGTGGGCGAGATGGTCAAGGCCATTCGCCCCCCCGCTCCCCAGGTACGAGCCTCTCAACCCTGCTGGCCTTGTTGTTTTCGCTGCACTGCACCTGCCCTCGCTGTTGCTCCTGTTGTCAGTGTAACAACCCTTGCCACTCACTCTCACTACTGTCTCACTTCCTCTCTCTCATCCCTCCGCCTGCCACTGCCTCTCACTCACCCCCTCTGCAGGATAACAGCTTTGACTTTGCCCCATACGTGCCGCTCTTCTATGATGCTGTCATGAAGCGCCTCGCTGCTCAAGACAGCACCACCACATCTCTGCTGACTTATCTTGCACCGCCTCCTCTTTACCTGTGACTTACCCCATCCTACGTGCCACTGCCTGTCTCACTCACCCCCTCTGCAGGATAACAGCTTTGACTTTGCACCGTACGTGCCGCTCTTCTACGATGCGGTCATGAAGCGCCTCACTGCCCAAGACCAGGACCTCGTGAGCCCCTCCTCTCCCCCTCCCTGCCCTGCCGCCGCTGCTGCCGCTGCTGCTGCTGCTGCTGCTGCTGCTGCTGCTGCTGCTGCTGCTGCTGCTGCTGCTGCTGCTGCCTGTCGTGTTTCTGCTGCCCTGCCTTGAGTTGAATAGCACGGACACCTGCCATCCTACTTCGTTAGCCCCTGTGTGCATGTCATCCCATCCCACTTCATCGCTCCTTTCCCCCCTCCTTCCCCACGCCTACCATCTGTGCGTGAGCAGGAGGTGAAGGAGTGCGCCATTGGCTGCATGGGGCTGCTGGTCTCCATCCTGGGCGACCACCTCCAATCACATCTCGCCACGTGTCTGCCCCTCCTGCTGGACCGCCTGCGCAACGAGATCACGCGCCTCACAGCCGTCAAGGTGCGGAGAGAGGCATCAGCATGCCTGCTCCTTTATTCCTATGCTGTCCATGTCAATGCATCATGATTGCGAGAAACAGGCGTTTTAAGTATACCTTGTCCCACGAAGTCTGTTTTTTCCCTGCCCACACCTCTTGCCACCTGCCGCTCCCCGGCACCAGGCGTTTGGCACGATAGCAGAGTCACCGCTGCACATCAGCCTGTCATCTGTGCTCGACCCCACCCTCGCTGAGCTCACCTCCTTCCTGCGCAAGGTACGTACCCCCACTCTATAGGTACCCCCAGTTCCCCTTTCCATTGCTGCCCTGCTTCTTCCTGCTCGTCAAGTCTCTTCTAGTAGCATGGGCTTCAGCTCATGGATCCTCCTTAATCCCACGTTTTTCACCTGCCTCCCCCTGTCCCCTTTGCCCCCTTGCACTCGCTCCTCTTGCAGGCCAACAGGTCGCTGCGCCAGGCGTCCCTCTGCACGCTCAACGCCATGCTCTCAGCCTATGCGCCCGACATCACAGACGCCGCCAGGGATGCTCTCCTCACAGAGCTCGCCCCGCTCATCAGGTGCCTCTCCCACCACCCTTAGTCTCACCTCATCAACGCCCTGCTCTCAGCATGGCGCCATGCTATGCGCCCGACATCACAGACGCCGCCAGGGATGCTCTCCTCACAGAGCTCGCCCCGCTCATCAGGTGCCTCTCCCACCACCCTTAGTCTCACCTCATCAACGCCCTGCTCTCAGCATGGCGCCATGCTATGCGCCCGACATCACAGACGCCGCCAGGGATGCTCTCCTCACAGAGCTCGCCCCGCTCATCAGGTGCGTCTCTAGCACGTGTTAGCAACGTCGTTCCGCTGCCTGTGTGACTGTGTGTTTCTATCCCTCCCTTGTCTCATCTCACTATTTATCGCTTGGCCATCTTACAGCCATCCACCGCCATCAGCCCCAGATTTTCAACGTGGCCCTGAGCCTGCCCCTTTCCATTGTCTACCCCGCTCCACCCACCTCCTTCCTCCCCCCTCCTCCACTACGGCAGTGACTCGGATCTGGCACTGGCAGCGCTGGCGCTGCAGCTGTGCTGCTCCGTGACCAGGCAGGCGCCCCCCGGGTCCGCTGCTGCAGCAGCTGTGGCCTCCAAAGTGCTGCCCCAGGCGCTCGCCCTCGTGCGCTCGCCGCTGCTTCAGGGGCAAGCTCTGCAGGTGAGGGAAGGGGTGAGGGAAGGGGTGAGGAAGGTTGTGATAGCAGGGATGAGGGTGTTAGAATTAGGCTGTCAACACTTTGTGTACTATATTCTATATCGCGTAGGTTATTTGCGGGTTGGGTGTAGTTTGTGATCCCAACCCTATCTGGTTGGGATTCCCTCGTAATCCTGCAAATCTGCCAACTCACCAATTGGAGATTTGCTAGGATTCCCATCCCATCCTTTCCCTAGCCTTGCCCATCCCAACCTCGTTTGTACTTAAGGCCTAGTGCCTTCTTTCCTAATCAATCAGTTGAGCTCCATTATTATCATGGTATCGAGCTAGCAAATTCCGCTCACGCGGAATCCGATCCTTGGCGTCGCGATCATTCTCTTCCTCTCGGCTATGACGTTCTCGGTTCACGCCTTCTTCGCTTAGCGTTTTTCGTCTTCACATCGTCGCACTGGTCAAAAGCGCTTTCCCGCTCCGTCTACGTGCATTTCCGATTTCAACGGCGGCACATTTCTCCGTCAATTTCCTTCATCGTAAGCTCTGAAATTTCAAATTTCCGTGGCAATTTTCTCACATTTGAAACTTCCAGCAGGTTTTCATCGGTGCAGCAGAGCAGGTTCAGCGGCGCAGCAGAGCAGGTTCAGCGGCGAAGCAGGGCAGGTTCATTGGCGCAGCAGAGCAGGTTCAGCGGCGCAGCAGAGCAGGTTCAGCGGCGCAGCAGAGCAGGTTCAGCGGCGCAGCAGAGCAGGTCAGCGGCGCAGCAGCACAGGTCAGCGGCGCAGCGGAACAGGTCATCGGCGCAGCAGAAAAGGGGTCATCGGCGAAGCAGAGAAGCAGAACAGGAATCGCAATCTTATTGCCGAAATCGCACATTTCCGCGTTTCGAACTTCATCAATTTTCAAAATCGCTCCGCTTCGCTCCGCTTCGCTCCGCTTCGTATCGTTGACTTTAGCGCTGCGCTCCGCGCGAATGGCGACTTCAACTTCTACCCTAGTCGGAAACCTCATCGTTCTCAACCTCGCTCCCAACGGCACGAGCACCAACTTTGGGGAATGGTGCTATGGGGTGGAGAAGCACCTCCTTAGCACGGAACTGAAGGGGATTTGCCTCAAGGACATCCTCCTCAACCGCGGCAAGGGAAAGATGCCTCTCCCTCCTGATCCCCTTGGCGAAGGCGCCACTGCCGCAGAGAAGGCCGCTTTTGACGCTCAGACCACCAAGTACGAGACTGATTTCAGTGTGTGGGAGCAGTCAGATGCAGCAGTTATTAGGGTTTTCATCACCACCACTCCGGTTGAGCTCGTCAAATCCTACCGCACCTTTCGCTCCGCTCATGCGATTTGGAAGTACCTCCAGGACCGTTTCCATGACAAGACAGCAGTGGGTGTTGCCATCCTCATCCCTCGAATGTTCCAGGTCCGCCTTGAGGAATGCCCTGGCATGGCAGATTACATCTCTGAAATCCGCAACATCCATGAGGAACTCAAGGACATTGGGATCATTTTCCCCGAACAGGCACCTGCAGCTGGCCTACTTGTAGGACTGACCCCGGCCTACAATGTCACCAGCTCCATGCTCAAGCAACTTCCCACCAAGGAACTCACCTTCGAAAAAGTCGCATCGGCTCTCCTTTCCGCCGAAAAGGACCTTGCAGCCCAAGCATCCGTCAATGCTGTGCGCTACACCCCTGGAATCCCATTCCGCTCCCAACAGGGACCAAGGCGCAACTCCTTTCCCCCATGCCCCTACATCATTAGGAAAGGCCCACGTGCGGGGCAGAAATGCGGAGGCACCAACCACCCTGAGGCAACTTGCTTCAAGAAGCGAGATGATGAGTGGTACGACGTCCATGGTGTCTCCACCAACAAGCGCCCTCCCAACTGGGCCCCACCCCGTCGCGTGAACCATGTCGAGGCAGTGGAGGAACCTAGTCCCTCAGTTGATAGCACCCCATCTGATGTTCGCCTCAACCTGCCGTTCTCTGGTGCTGGTCTTATTAATGAGAAGGGGTCGCAATACATCGGTGTTTCAAACACACAAGGGATCGAGTTCATACTAGACAGTGGTGCCACCCACACAGTGCTCAAAGACCAAACCGCGTTCGTTCCTTACCAGGCTCCCAGCCCACTCCTCGGAGCCGACTCTAGCTTCTCCATCCAATGCCATGGGTCCTCCACAGTTCCTTGTCCAGCATTTCCATCTGTGCCCCCACCCTCCGCCACAACCTCCTGGCACAAAGTGAAATCCAACAAGCAGGAGTGATCACCATCTTTCCCAATGATGTCGACTACTGTGACCTCTTTGACGCCAAAACCGGCATTCATCTAGCCCGCTTCACTCTCAACTCTAACAACCTATACACGCTCGTAGTACCTCCCATTCAAACGTGCTCCCTCACAAACCTCCCGTTACCTTCCCTTGACTCCTCCACCTGTCACTGCCGCCTCCTTTCCGACAAAACCATGCTCTTTCATCACCGCCTTGGCCACATCAACTTTCGCGCGCTTTCAGACCTTGCCACAAAACAACTCCTCCACGGGCTTCCAACCTCACTTCCCTCTCCTACCTCCACCCTAGGGCCGCCTTGCCTTGACTGTGCACAGAGCAAGCTTCGTGAACAGCCCCATCCCCCCACTAAGTCCATCTCCGCTGCACCTCTCGATCGCGTGCACATGGACCTTTGGGGCCCAGCTCCTGTTCGCTCTCGCGGTGGACACTTTTACTTCCTTGTCATCATTGATGACTATTCCCGCTATGTGTCTGTCCACCTTCTCTCCTCCAAATCCGAAGCCCCAGGCGTCATCATTGAATGGGCGAAGCAGGCTCACAAACACTTCAAAACCACCATCAAGGTCCTTCACTCTGACGGTGGCGGTGAATTCCGCAACAACACTCTCAAAGCTTTCTGCTCCACTGAGGGTATCCGTCAGACCTTCATTCTCCCGGACAGTCCCCAACAGAACGGTATTGCCGAAAGCCGGAACCGTACATTGGTGCAGATTGCTCGCTGCCTCCTCACGCACGCCTCCACCCCTCCCTCTCTCTGGGGGTACGCCATGCTTCATGCTGCCGCCCTCCACAATCTCCATCCCCATCCTCATCACACCCACACCACCCCCGCTGAGCTATGGACGGGTCAAAAGCCATCCGTCCGCCCTCTTCGTGTATGGGGGTGCACTTCCTATGTCCTCCTCAACTCTCAAGCCCGTCGTGCGGCTGGCGGCAAACTTGCTCCCAAAACGATCACGTGCGTATACCTCGGGCACAACTTAGATTCGCCAGACTATCTCTTCCTCCATCCTTCCACCAACAAGCTCTATCGCAGCCGGGACGTTTACTTTGATGAGTCCCACCCATTCTACCCCTCCTCCAAGGCTTCCCCCTCTCCTCCGCCTCCCTCTCTTACTTGGGCTGACTTTGACAGTCTCCCTCTTCCCGACACTCCATCTCCTCCTCTTCCCGCTCCCTCCACCATTTCTGATCCCCCATCACCCGCTTCCCCCTCCAGTACCACACAATCTCCCTCGCTCCCTCCCTCCTCCGCTACCCCTCCTCCATCTCCTCTCGCATCTCCTCCTACCGAGCCCGTTCCTCTCAAAACCTACCAACGCCGTCACCCAGCTCCTCCTCCTCCTCCTCCCCCTCCTCCTCCTCCTGCTCCCACCCCTGATCCCGATCCTGTCTCCACTCTCCCTCCCACTCCCACCTCCCCTTCCGCTACGCCTACTCCGGCCCCGCCTCCCTCACCCATTGCTTCTCGCACCCGCTCTCGCACCCGCTCTCGCTCACCTCCACAACCGTTCTCCCTTTCCGTTCGCGTCTCTCTCAATCCTCCTCCTGTCGGGGGTGATTATTCTCTCATGCCATCCCTCCTTGAAGACAGACATGAGGAGTTGATTGATATCGACTCAGCCATCCACGCACTCTGCTTCCTCTTTCCAGACATCGCAGACTCTCCAACCCTCAATTTCTCCGACAACCCCTCCATCCCCACACCTCTCACCTATGCTGAAGCAGTCTCTGGTCCTCACGCCGCTCAGTGGTTGGGGGCCATTGTCGCAGAATGTGAGGCCTTCATTCACACAGGAACTTTCACAGACGTCTCTCCTCCCTCCGGCGTCAACATTGTGAAGGGAAAATGGGTCTTTCGGGTGAAACAACTTCCAGGCGAATTTCCTGTCTTCAAAGCCCGGTACTGTGCCAAGGGATTTACCCAAAAGCGTGGACTGGACTTCTTTGAGACATTCTCTCCCACCGCCAAACCTCCCACACTGCGCACCCTTCTCTATGTCGCTGCTCGAGATGACATGGAGGTTGACTGCATGGATGTGTCTTCTGCGTTCCTGCAAGGGATCCTTCGAGAGGAAATCTATATGGAGCGGCCCGAAGGATTTCCAGCTCCTTTTCCACCAGGCACTGTATGGAAGCTGAATCGGCCAGTGTATGGCCTCAAGCAAGCTTCCCGGGAATGGCACAACAAGCTAAAGAGCACCTTAGGGTCCCTCGACTTTCACCCATCCACCTCTGACCCCAGCCTCTTCATCGGAGCAACACCCTCCCGGTTCTTCATTCTGGTTTATGTCGATGACATGATCCTTGTCACCAAGGATCAGACTGAGCTGGCAGCAGTCAAAACCGCACTTGGTGAGAAGCTGGCCATGAAGGACCTTGGGAAGCTGACGAACTTTTTGGGAATGGAAATCACACGTGATCGCACAGCCCGCACCATCACCCTTTCGCAGAAGTTTTACATCAACAACGTTCTGACGAGGTTCCAGATGCAGGAAGCAGCATCAATGCCCACCCCACTCTCTCTGCAACACCAACTCACTGCACCCTCCGTTCCCTCACCTGAGCCCTGTGACGAGCCTTACCCCGAGCTCGTGGGATCCCTCATGTACGCGATGATGTGCACTCGACCAGACTTAGCCTATCCAGTCAGTGTACTGTCCCGCTACGTTGCACCTCGTCGCTTCACTCGCCACCACTGGTCTGCCGCCAAGCGGGTTCTTCGCTATCTCAAAGGCACACAGGATTATGTGCTCACACTTGGCGGCACTTCCCCTGTTCGCCTTGAGGGGTACAGTGACTCATCCTATGCTGATGACCAGAGTGATCGGCGCTCGTCCCAAGGGTATTGCTTTACCCTTGGCAGTGGGGTTGTAAGTTGGCGCTCCACTCGGTCGTCCTCCGTCTCACTGTCGACCCGTGAGGCAGAGCTGTATGCCGGGACCATGGCTGCACAGGAGGCTCGTTGGCTCTCCTTCCTGCTGACAGAACTGGGGTATCCCCAACCAACCCCAACGCTTTGGTGTGACAACGAGAGCACCATTCATCTCACCAAAGACCCCGTTTTCCATGGCCGCACCAAGCACATTGAAGTCCGTCACTACTTTCTTCGTGAGCTGGTGCAGCGCGAGCTGCTGAAGGCTGAACACATTGCCTACGACTGCAACCTTGCTGACTTGTTTACCAAGTCGCTTGTTCGCGAGGATCATTACCGCCTCCTCTCGGCCATGGGTGTTGGGCCTCCTTGTGGCTGATGTGTTGCAGCCTAGGGGGTGTGTTAGAATTAGGCTGTCAACACTTTGTGTACTATATTCTATATCGCGTAGGTTATTTGCGGGTTGGGTGTAGTTTATGATCCCAACCCTATCTGGTTGGGATTCCCTCGTAATCCTGCAAATCTGCCAACTCACCAATTGGAGATTTGCTAGGATTCCCATCCCATCCTTTCCCTAGCCTTGCCCATCCCAACCTCGTTTGTACTTAAGGCCTAGTGCCTTCTTTCCTAATCAATCAGTTGAGCTCCATTATTATCTGAGGGAAGGGGAGAGGAAGGGTCATTGTGTTGGTCTTGCCATTGCTAGGGTCCTTCACATCTCTCACCCATCTTCACTTTCTTCACATTCTAGATCCCTTCCCCCCATCTCTCCTCCTCTCCTCTCCCTCTCTCCCGAACCCCCCTCTTCCACTCTCCTGCCAGGTCCTGCAAGACTTCCTTGCAGTGCAGGTGCAGGCATCAGCCACGTCCTTTGACGTGCTGCTCGCCTTGACCATATCCCCCCGCCGTTCCTCCTCTCTCATCCCTTTTCTCGCCCTCCCCCTCCCCTCCCCTGCCAGGCCCTGCAAGAGTTCTTCGCAGTGCAAGTGCAGGCATCAGCCACGTCCTTTGACGCGCTGCTCGCCGCGCTGCTCTCAGCAGGCCGCCCCTTCTCCTCCTCCATGTCCCCCGCCGCCGCTGCCGCAGCCGCCTCCTCCTCTGCCGCTGCCCGCCCCGCCTTCTCGTCAGTGGCGCAGTGCGCCGCTGTGCTGTGTGTGGCTGCTGGGTCTGACCAGTGTGCTGCCACTGTGAGGGCGCTGATGAGCAACCTAGAGGGTTCTGCTCACCCTGCTGACACGGTGAGTGTGCTAGAGAGAGAGAAAGAGAAATAGAGAGTGTGCATATTGCGGTGCGCTGCCGTGCTGTGCGTCGCTGCTGGCGCTGACCAGTGCGCGGCCACTGTGAGGGCGCTGATGAGCAACCTAGAGGTGCTTCTCACCCTGCTGACACGGTGAGTGTGCTAGAGGGAGTGTGCCTGCACTGACAATACAGCAGTGTTGACGGGGCAGTGCTTTTAATAGCAGTGGGTGTAAACATGGCAGTGTGCCGCTTGTGGTTCTAGCTCCACCCACTTCGCAACCCCCTCCACATCCCTCCTTTCTTTCTCACCCCTCATCTGCCTGCCACCAGCACAAGCAACTGCTTTCCCTGCTGTGCCTCGGCGAGATAGGCCGGCGGGTGGACCTGAGTGCACACAGCACGCTCCCCACCCTCGTCATGTCCGCACTGGCGTCGCCCCTAGAGGAGGTGAAGGCAGCAGCATCGTTTGCGCTGGGGAGCATAGCGGTGGGCAACCACAGCCAGTACCTGCCGTTCGTGCTGCAGCAGATCGACTCGCAGCCCAAACTGCAATACCTGCTGCTGCACTCGCTGAAAGAGGTGAGGTCCAAAAGAGAGTGCAGGCGGTGAATCCTTAATCAGTATTGTAGTAGGCTCATCAGCAGATCGACTCGCAGCCCAAATTGCAGTACCTGCTGCTGCCCTCGCTCAAAGAGATGAGTACCCACTTGCCCATGGTAGGTAGAAGCACAGCAGTGCAGGTGGATTCCTGAGCATTATGCATCTTCTAAGCCATCTCTCAAGCTCAGCCGAGGTGCTTTTCCCTTTCGCACCTCCCTTTTCAAACCTTTATCCCATGCCTCCCCTACAGATCATCTCTGGGCGAGCGGCGAGTGGCGGCAGTGCGGCAGTGGAGCTGGAGGGGGAGAACGTGGGCAAGGTGTTGGCGCTGCTGTTCACACACAGCGAGAGCGACGAGGAGGGCGTGCGGAACGTGGTGGCCGAGTGCCTGGGCCGCCTTGCTCTCATCGACCCTCCTAGACTCGTGCCCGCTCTCAAGGTCAGCTCACAGTTCACAGCTCACAGCGCACAGGTGGTAAGAGAAGGTGCTGGCGCTGCTGTTCACACACAGCGACAGCGACGAGGAGGGCGTGCGGAACGTCGTGTGTTACTGAAGGCGCCTGCCTAGGTGAGTTGTTACTGAAGGCGCCTGCCTAGGTGAGTTGTTACTGAAGGCGCCTGCCTAGGTGAGTTGTTACTGAAGGCGCCTGCCCAGGTGAGTTGTTATTGAAGGCGCCTGCCTAGGTGAGTTGTTACTGAAAGCGCCTGCCTTGGTGAGTTGTTACTGAAGGCGCCTGCATAGGTGAGTTGTTACTGAAGGCGCCTGCGTAGGTGAGTTGTTACTGAAGGCGCGCCTGCCTAGGTGTGGAGTCGACTTCCACCGCGCCTCGTACCCACAGTCAAGCCCCACCACCTGCTGCCTCTGCCAGTTCCGTTCCTCCTCAGGCCTTGCCTTTGCTGCTCCCTCGTTTTCACCATCACCATCACTCTCACCCTCACTTTATTTCACCCCCATTCTCTCCCTCCCCATCTTCTCTCTTCGTCTCCCTGCGTGTCTCCAGGAGCGTGTGGGCAGCCCATCAGCCTTCACTCGGGCCACAGTGGTGGCGGCACTCACTGACTCACTCTCACTGACTCACTCTCACTGACTCACTCTCACTGACTCCGCGCAGCCCATTGATGCTCACCTCAAGCCGCACCACCCCCTTCCTCGTTCCCCCTCGCCCCACTCCATCCCTCTGCGTGGTGACAGGAGCGAGTGGGCAGCCCATCCGCGTTCACACGAGCCACGGTGGTGGCGGCACTCAAGTTCACTCTCACTGACTCCGCCCAGCCCATCGACGAGCACCTCAAGCCGCACCTCTCCTCCTTCCTCTTCCTGCTCCGAGACTCCGACAGGGTGAGGGGACGGTGTGAAGGGTGCGGGATAAAGTTTGAGATATGTTTCTGGGTAGGGTTTGGAAATATGGGAAGTTGAAGGGACTGGAATCGGTAGTTGCTGCATGTCCTTGACCACATGAGATCTTCACTCATTCTACAAAAGCCTCCTTAGTTCCTGCATTTCCTCCTTAACCAGTTGAGCTGTTACCCGTGCTGCCCTCCTCACTCTTCCCCTTCCACTGCAGCATGTGCGGCGGGCAGCAGTGCTGGCGCTGACGACAGCAGCGCACAACAAGCCAGGGTTGGTGGAGGACCTCCTGCCAGAGCTGCTGCCGCTGCTGTACGACCAGATGCGAGTCAAGGTACTATCTGACAAGAATGTGTGGCAAAATGGATCCACTTCCTAAAAGTTTCTAGATGGGGAATTGAGAGTGGAAGGCTCGTTTTGCCTTGGCTTTTTATAGGAACGAGTATGAATTCATTTCAAGTTAAGTCTTCACATTTCTTGCTCACCCGCTTCCTCTCCTGCCATATGCAGCCTGAGATGATCCGGACCGTTGATCTGGGCCCATTCAAGCACACAGTGGATGATGGGCTGGAGCTGCGCAAGGCAGCCTTCGACTGCATGGACACGCTCCTCTCCACCTGCCTGCACCGCATCCAACCTGCCGCCTTCATCACCCCCTTCCTCATCTCTGGCCTCTCGGGTACGTTTACCCCCTTGACACATCAAGTCCTCTGTACCTCTCGTTTCCCTTTTCCTTTAAATCTCTTCCTTCTTCTCATCGCTCTGCTCCCTTCCCCTCCCCTCCCCCCCCTCCCCTCCCCTCCCCTCCCCTAACATGTCACTCATCGAATTCCTTCATTTCTCCCTTCCGTTCTCTCAATCCTTCCCTTCCCTGCATCCCTCCCCGCCCCTCCTCTCTCTCCCCACTGTTAAAACCACCGTGGGGTGCAGACAACTACGATGTGAAGATGCCATGCCACCTGGTGCTGGCGAAGCTAGCAGAGAAGTGTGCCCCATCGGTGCTGGCAGTGGTGGATGCACTGGTGGAGCCATTAGAGAAGACAGTGACGACGCGTGTTAAGGCAGACGCAGTGAAGCAGGAGGTGGACCGCAACGAGGACATGATCCGCAGCGCTCTACGCGCCGTGCACGCGCTGTCCCGCATCAGGTTAGTGCCGTGCACGCGCTGTCCCGGATTAGGTGCAATGTGCTTGCTTGGATCTAGTGAGTAGCATGGCAGGAAGGAAGCAGGTGAGTTGTGTGGGACGAGTGAAGCAGGAGGTGGACCGCAACGAGGACATGATCCGCAGTGCCCTGCGCGCCGTGCATGCTCTCGCCCGAATTAGGTACGATGTGCTTGCTTGAGTCAGGTGAGTGGCGTGGCAGGAAGTAAATGAGTGGTGTGGTGGGCATTGCATGACGCCATGAAGCAGAGGTGGACCCAATGAGGACATGATCCGCAGCGCCCTGCGTGCCGTGCATGCTCTTTCAAGCATCAGGTAAGTGCCGTGGTTTCAAGATAGGAGTATGGTGTGGGATCAATAGAGCTGTGTTGTATCAAAGAAGTGGCGTGGGAGAGTGGTGTGCCAGGGAGTATGCTGGAGCCTGGAACCCACGAGGGGGTCAAGTTATGCAATTTCCTTAATTTTACCTGCTCTCTGCAAAAGCCTTCTTCACTCCCACCCTCTAGTTGCCTCTGCCTTTGTCACTAAACATATTTGTACACGCAGGCACACACTATCACCTCTGCTTTCCCTTCCCTCCTCCGTCCATCCCTGCTCCGCCCCGTCCCCATGACACAAGCAGCAATGTGGATTCATCGACTCGCTTCAAGACATTAATGACCAATGTGGTTAGAGCGGGGCCTGTGGGGAACTTGTACAATCAAATCAGATCGGAGCAGGATGCGGTGGCTGGCAGCAGTCGTGCGGAGCTATAATGACATCCCTGCACATGGAACAATTTACAAGTGCCTTTGGTCGTCCAAGTGATTTCGTTTCTCCTGATGTACGACACAGTTGCTGGGCTGTGCACTGGCACAGCGTTAAGTTAGTTTGAGAATATGCCACGAGGATGCACCTTATGGGGAACTAACATGGATAATGTAAGCAATCAGCTTGCTTTGATGTGATGTTGCAACACACCATACGATGGTTGAAAGAGTGCTGCTGGGTGAATGAACGTAAGGTAAGAGATAACATTGTGCAGGCCTTTCGAATTTACTGGTGTAGTCAGTTAGCATGACAAACTGCTTAGCGCGTATAGCCCCGCCAAAATACGAACCTGCGCAGGTTCGGTGGTGGTGATTGAGCTGGGTCCTCGCGGTACAGTACTGGCTTGATCTTGATCGTTGTCGTTCTCCCTCGATGTTGCGTTCGTTCCAAACCTTGCTTCAAGTGCGCAGCCGCTCTGCCAGCCACACCAAGCCGAACCTTCCTTTGGGCTTGTCGCCTCGCACGCGCAGGCATTGTTGGGTTTGACTGCGCCCAATTGCCTGCCTGGCTACAGCACCCAGCAAGAACTGCTCCACACCACACAACACACGAATTGAAACTCCAAATGACTGGATGACTGGGTTGGATAGACTTTTTATCCAGAAAGTGAGCCGACCATGGCTGTGCTTGTGCAACACAGTATACAAGCTGTAGGATGTTCTGCCTGAATGTGCACAAGTCGCTCCGCCTGACAAAGCGCAGTGCGGTACAGCACTTGAAGCATTTGGTGGATAGAATCACGCGTCACATTGACACTAATGTCGGGACGAGGGTGACGGGAAAAGGATTCAACTCAAATGCTCGTGTCACATTCTAGCTGGCTTGATTGCTGGAAGTTAGTATTAGAAGTAACCTTGTGTTACTTCGCTGCACATCACACCGTAGTTTGCAGCCTGACAACCTGAGAGCCTCTAAGAACGATTAATTCCTGACCAACCTCAACTACTCGCGCTTGTGCGCGCAGTTTCGTCTTAGCTCTCCGCAAACGTCGGTTCGAAATTTGTTAACCTTAAGATTCACAACTCGGATGGAACGATGGCTTCCAACGGAAGCGCCTTGGTGGTAGCGGCGGTGCTGCAGCTGCTGCTCCTACTGGCGGGTAACGCCGTGCCGAGCGCGGGTCAGGACACGAGCCAGCAGCAGTGCTTCTGGCCGCTCAACGACACGGAGGGTAAGCTCACTCTTTCGCGCGGCATGTAGGCTTCCGCGCGTGATGAGTGGATTTTGGAGTCGACTCGTAGTCAGGACAAGAGCCTACAGCAGTGCTTCTGGCCGCTCAAAGTCACGGAGGTAAGCTCGCTATCACGCAATGTTGGCTTCGTTTCGCGCAGTGTCGGCTTCTCAGGTTTTCATGCAATGTCAGCTTCTTTTCTCAGTAAATCATGCAGTGTCGGCTTCTTTTCTCAAATGTCGCTTCAATTCTTCAATATTTCACACAATGGTCTAGCGCTATCTCAGCTCAATTCTACCACCCAACATAAGTTCACTCTCATGCACTCTGGGACTTACGTTCTTTATCTAATGCTTGGCAGCGGGAATTCTATTCAGAGTTTCACTCAGTGTAGATTACTTTCCCCTCGACCTGGCTTACATCACCACCTGCGTCAATGTTGGCGTCACATGCAGCGACAGTGGCCACGTCAGGAAAATGTCAGTGCTGCTGCTGCTGCTGCTGCTGCTGCTGCTGCTCATGCCGTCGCTGGTGCTGATGCCCATGTTACCGCAGGAGGAGTACGAGATGCTCGCGAGTGACGCTTTCTTGCCTTGACTCGTGGCTGTTGTGCCCGCAGCCAATGGCAGAGCATGGCAATTCAAGGGGAGCTGCCTTCAGAGATTTTCCAGCTGGTGCACCTTGAATACCTGTGAGCGTCTGCGCTTGAAGCATGAAGTATGAATGTGCTCAACGCTGATGCTGCGCTTGAGGCACAGCTCACTTATTCCTTTCATGCATCAATCTCTTCGTGCGGGCACTTGACGGCACTTGAGGGCACTCGAGGGCACTTGAGGGCATGCATGCAGTATGAATGTACCGCATGAATGTGATCAACGCTGATGCGTGCGACCAACGCTGATGCATGTTATCAACTCTGATGCATGTTATCAACTCTGATGCATGTTATCAACTCTGATGCATGTTATCAACTCTGATGCATGTTATCAACTCCTGATGCATGTTATCAACGCTGATGCATGTTATCAACGCTGATGCATGTGATCACCGCTGATGCATGTGATCAACGCTGATGCATGTGATCAACGCTGATGCATGCGGCCAACTCTGATGCATGTGACCAACGCTGGTGTGTAAACCGTTCGCAGGTCTCTGCGAGACAACTACCTGCGTGGCTCCATCCCCTCTGAAATCGGCAACCTCGTCAATCTCACATATCTGTCAGTTCGCTTCGCCCCTCTTAGCGTTGTTCCCTCTGTTAGTTGAGTTCGCCCCCTGTTGCTTAGCGTCGCCCAGCTCTCAGTTAATTTCGTCCCTCTGTCAGTTAACGTTGCCTCTCTCTCAGGTACCTTCACCCGTCTCCCAGTTAACTTCACCCGTCCCTCAGTTAACTACACCCCTCATTCAGTTAGCATCGCCCCTCTGACAGTCCTTTGTCAGTACTGACACGCCTCGAACGGTCTCTCTGATTGGTGTTTCTGTGAGTCATGTGTGTATTGTGTGTGTATGTGTGTGTATGTGTGTGTGTGTGTGTGTGTGCGCGCGCGCGCGCGCGCGTATCTGTGTGCGTGTGTGTGTGCACGTGTGTGTGTGTGTGCGCGCGCGCGCGCGTGCGCGCATGTGCGGTGTGTGCCTGTGCATGTGTGCGTGGATGTGTGAGAGTGTGTGCGTACATTTGTGCGAGTGTGTGCATGCATGTTTGCACGCATACGCATGTGTCTGAGTGTGTGGATGAATGTGTGTGTGTGGATGCACGCACGTGTGTGTATGCGATTGTGTGGCATGCATGCATGGCAGGGATCTCTCCAACAACTCCTTCTCAGGCCCCTTCCCCACCTTCTTCAGCAAACTCACCAAGCTCTCCATCCTGTCAGTTAACGATTCCCATCCCACCTGTCAGCTAATAATTCCTATCCTACCTGTCAGTCAACATTTTCTACCTGTCAGTCAACAATTCCTTGCCTGTCAGTCACAATTCCCCTCTATCAGTCAACAAGTCCTCCCCGCCAGTCACATTTTTGTCCCTGTCCTCTTGTACCAAAATGTGCCTGAGAGGGACGAAAATGTGACTACATTTTCATCCCTCTCTCAGGCACATTTTCGTACCTGTCAGTCGCATTTTCGTCCCTGTCAGTCAGGCATTTCGTTAAGCCATCCACTTCCACCAGCTGGCGAGTTGCCAGTTGGCTCTACCCGCTCCTATGTCCTGCCATGCCATGCCATGCCATGCCATGCCGTACCATGCCCTGCCGCCCCTACCACCAGGTACATGTCGTTGAACAAGTTTTCGGGCAGGCTTCCAGATGCCATCGGCAACATGGTCTCTCTCGTCGTCCTGTATGTGTGTGCCGCCCGGCATGTATGTGTGCCGCCTGACATGTATGCGTGCAGCCTGGCATGTGTGTGTGCCGCCTGGCATGTATGTGTGCTGCCCGGCATGTATGTGTGCCGCCCGGCATGTATGTGTGCTGCCTGGCATGTGGGTGTGCCGCCCCGCATGTATGTGCGGTACCAAGCATCCACGTCTACACCTCGCCCTCCCTCTCTTCCGTTTTCTCCTTCCAAGCACCCATGTCTTCTCCCTCTGTTTTCTGCCCCTAGCCCCATCTACACCCCCTTCGCATCATCCTCTCCCTTCTCTCCCCTCTCCGTCCTCTCCCTCCTCTCCCTCCTTTCCCTCCTTTCCCTCCTCTCCCTCCTCTCCCTGCTCTCCCTGCTCTCCCTCCTCTCCCTCCTCTCCCTTCTCTCCCTGCTCTCCCTGCTCTTCCTCCGCCTCTGCAGGGTCGTGAAGGAAAATGACTTCACAGGGTCACTGCCCACCGTAATGGGGCGCCTCACCAACCTCCAGCACTTGTGAGCCGCCCGTCACGAATTAGCCTATCTGAGTGACCACGTGAGCATCTGAGTGACCACGTGAGCATCTGAGTGACCACGTGAGCATCTGAGTGACCACGTGAGCATCTGAGTGACCACGTGAGCATCTGAGTGACCACGTGAGCATCTGAGTGACCACGTGAGCATCTGAGTGACCACGTGAGCATCTGAGTGACCACGTGAGCATCTGAGTGACCACGTGAGCATCTGAGTGACCACGTGAGCATCTGAGTGACCATGTGAGCATCTGAGTGACCATGTGAGCATCTGAGTGACCATGTGAGCATCTGAGTGACCATGTGAGCATATGAGTGACCATGTGAGCATCTGAGTGACCACGTGAGCATCTGAGTGACCACGTGAGCATCTGAGTGACCACGTGAGCATCTGAGTGACCACGTGAGCATCTGAGTGACCACGTGAGCATCTGAGTGACCACGTGAGCATCTGAGTGACCATGGGAGCATTGGTGAGACCATGTGAGCATCGGTGAGACCATGTGAGCATCGGTGAGACCATGTGAGCATCGGTGAGACCATGTGAGCATCGGTGAGACCATGTGAGCATCGGTGAGACCATGTGAGCATCGGTGAGACCATGTGAGCATCGGTGAGACCATGTGAGCATCGGTGAGACCATGTGAGCATCGGTGAGACCATGTGAGCATCGGTGAGACCATGTGAGCATCGGTGAGACCATGTGAGCATCGGTGAGACCATGTGAGCATCGGTGAGACCATGTGAGCGGCCCCAGTACAGCCCTTGTCAGCTCTGCAGCCTGTGAAGGCCTTTTAATGATGTGATTGAAAGAATCTCAAGTGTTGTCTTGATTAGAAAGAGTGTCGGTACATATAGGAGATGAGAAGTTTTGGGAACGAAGTGGGGTACCCTCAGCATTTATTGGTGGACCAATCAGATTGGGTCGACCAACAATTGCTGGGGTAACCAACAATCGTTGGAGGGGACCATTATTGGCCCCCCCCCGTCAATTGCGGTCGAGTTGGGTTTGGGGGCGCCCAACCAAAATTGGTTGGGTCGCCTTGACCCAAAGTGTACACCCACTTTAGGGTGTAACACATGCACAAATATAAACATACATTATGCTATATTCTAACACAACCCCGTAGCATAAGAGGTTTATAAGTGTGCACAACCCCGGAACCATGAAGCCGGGGAGAGGCCAAGAAGGCGAAGGAAGGCCCGGTGGGCTAGCTTCGGAAGAGCTTTGGTGAAGATGTCAGCGAGGTTGGCTTCGGCGGCAATTTTTCGGACGGCAAGATGGCCTTGCTGGACAAGATCGCGAATGTAGAAGTAGCGTAGTTCGATGTGTTTGGAGCGCCCGTGGAAGACCGGATTCTTGGTGAGGTGGATCGTGCTGGCGTTGTCGCACCAGAGCGTGGGGCATGGCTGGGGGGCCCCAAGCTCGGCTAGCAAGAAGGAAAGCCAGCGTCCTTCCTGCGCAGCCATGGTACCAGCATAGAGTTCGGCTTCACAAGATGAGAGGGCGATGGCGGAGGAGCGGGTGGAGCGCCAGCTGACCAAGCCGCTACCGAGCGTGAAGCCATATCCTTGGGAAGAGCGGCGATCCGGCTGAGAGTCTGCCCAAGACGAGTCACTGAAGCCGGTGAGGAGCGGGGGAGAGGCACCACCAAGGGTGAGAACATGGTCCTGAGTGCCACGGAGGTAGCGTAGGACTCGTTTGGCGGCTCTCCAATGCACGGAGGTGTGACGACCGGTACCGACGAAACGCGCCAGGACGCTGATGGGGTAGGCGAGGTCGGGACGGGTCCCCATCATGGCATACATGATGGAGCCAACCAGTTCCGCATAGGGCTGAGTGGAGGCGGAGGGGGAGGTGGGTGGAGCAAGCCCATGGCCGAATGGAAGGGGAGTGGCCACTGGGTTGGCGAGAGCCATGTCGAACCGCTCCAACACCTGCTGAAGATAGTGAGATTGAGATAAGGTGATGGTGCGGGCAGCTCGATCGCGTGTGATCTCCATGCCCAAGTAGTGGCGTAATTCGCCAAGGTCCTTGCACTGGAGACGAGCTTGTAGTTCTTCCTTAACGTCGGTCATGTCGGCGGAGGTGTCGGCGAGGAGCACCATGTCGTCAACATAGACTAGGACGAAGAAGCGGCTGGGACGGGTCCGAATGAAGAGACTGGCGTCAGAGTGAGATGGTTGAAATCCGAGAGCACAGAGTGTAGATGCCAGCTTAGCATGCCATTCCCGAGGAGCCTGCTTCAGGCCGTAGACTGGACGGCGTAGTTCCCAGACAGTGTCTGGTGGGAAGGCTTCATGGAAGCCATCTGGGCGGTCGAGGAAGATTTGTTCGTGGAGGTTCCCCTGAAGAAAAGCGTTAGAGACATCCATTGATGAGATCTCCATGCCGTTGCGGGAGCCAAAGTCGAGAAGCGTGCGAAGGGTCCCGAATTTTGCGGTAGGTGAGAAGGTTTCCCAAAAGTCCTTGGCATAGGTCTGTGTGAAGCCCTTGGCGCAGTAACGGGCTTTGTAGACGGGCTCCTCCCCCGGAAGCTGCTTCACCCGGAAGACCCACTTGCCAGCGACAATGTTGGCATCTGGAGGCGGCTTGACATCGACGAAGGAATCATTGCGAATGAAGGCGTCGCACTCCTTGCGAATGGCCTCCAGCCATTTGTCAGCGTCAGGGCACGTGATTGCCTCCTGGAATGTGGTAGGCGTGAAGATGAGAGGTGAGGAGGGAGTGCCAAGTACAACCGCGCCCAAAAGGGCAAGGTACACATGGTTAAGGGAAGGAACGTGAGTGTGAATTGCACAAAACTCCTCATGGGAGTCTTCATGAATGAGAGGTGGTTGACCAAGAATGGGGTCAAGGAAGCGAGTGTGCATGCGTGGGAGGAGGAAGGGAGAGCGTGAGGTGAGAGAAGTGCGAGGACGTGGGGAGGATGCAGGAGGTGCGGCGGGCGAGGATGGAGGAGGAGAAGCTGGAGGGAGGTGGGTGGGAGGGGAGGGAGGAGGGGGAGAGGGAGGAGGGGGAGCGGTGGAAAGGGCAGGTGAGGCAGCATGATCATAGATATCAGCCGAGGAAGGTGGAGGTGAGAGTGGAGTAGTTGGGAGGAGTGGAGCAGATGGGAGGAGAGGAGGAAGAAGGGCATCCGCCCAGGTGAGTGGGCGGGAGGGTGGGGGGAGAGGGTCGGAGGGAGGAGGAGAGGAGTAGTAGGGGATGGTTTCATCGAAGACGACATCGCGGCTGCGAATGAGGCGTCCGGAGGGAGGATGAAGGAAGAGGTACCCAGGAGAGCCACGATTGTGGCCGAGGTAGACGCACTCCAATGCTTTGGAGGCAAGTTTTCCTGCTTTGCGGGAACGGTCTGCGGGAGGAATGAGAACAAAGGATTTGCAGCCCCAGACGCGAAGGACGGAGGCATCAGGTTTGGTGTTGCACCAAAGCTCAGTGGGAGTGAGGTTGGGATGGTGGGGGTGAGGGTAGAGGTTGGTGAGAAGGGCGGCATGAGTGAGAGCATAGCCCCAAAGGGAGGGAGGGGTAGATGCATGGGTGAGGAGACAGCGGGCAGTTTTGGTGATCTCACGGATGCGACTTTCAGCTACACCGTTTTGTTGCGGAGAATGAGGGAGAGTGGACGTCTGTTGAGTGCCATGTGCTTTGCAGTAGGAGGCAATGGTATGGTTGAGAAACTCCCCGCCACCGTCAGAGTGAAGGCGACGGATGGGTCGGCCGAAGTGCACGCGCGCTTGTTCGGCCCAGGCGATGATGACAGCGGCTGCTTCAGCTTTCGTGTGGAGTAGAAACACAGAGGAGTAGCGGCTATGGTCGTCTACGAGGACGAGCATAAAGCGGTGGCCCTGGCGGGAAGGGGAGGGGGAGGGACCCCAGAGGTCCATGTGGACGAGATCTAGGGGAGCAGTAGCAAATGAGGGATGGCTGTGATGGGGTTTTTGTTTGAGTTTGCCATGAATGCAAGTGGGACAAGGAGGAGCTGGTGAGGTGGGTAGGGGAGGAAGGGCAGGGGGGAGCCCATGAAGGAGGCGAGAGGATATTGCGGCACGGAGGGTGGTGAAGTTGGGGTGACCAAGACGGTGATGGAGGAGAATGGCGGGGTGAGAGAGGGAGAGGTCGGGAGAGGTAGAGGGAGTGGGAGATGATGAAGGGGGAGGAGCAATGGTGGGAGAAGGGTAGGTGGAGCGACGGGTGGTGAGATGACATGATGCCGGAAAAGGGAGACGTAGTGTGTAAAGGTGAGTGCGGGGGCAGATTGGGAGGCGATAGACAAGGCGGCCAGTGGAGGTATGAATGAGATCGCAATAGGAAAAGTGGGCAGGAAAAATGGCGGTAATGCCGGCTTTTTGGAGATCATGAAGAGAAATAAGGTTGTGACGAAGAGTGGGAATGTGGAGGCCAGTGATAGTGCCGGAGGGAAAGAGGGGACACGGAAGAGTAGAGGAGTGTGTGCATGGGATCGAGAAGCTAGAATCAGCGCCATGAACAGTGGAGGGGAGAGATAGTGTTTTGAGAATGCCAGCGTCCTTCAGGGCACTGACGGTGGCCCCGCTATCGAGGACAAAGTCCAAGGTGAGCGGGGAAGGAGACGCAGAATACTGGAAGTCACTGTTATTAAGAACAGAGGGATACATGGAGGTGGTGCTAGGCAAGGGAGAAGCTAGCTGACCAAGAAAGCTAGAGTATGACTCAGCTGGGGAGGTATGGGCGGCGGTGGCGGCAGAACCGAAGCCAAGAGGTTGCTGCTGCCAGGCGGCAGTTGCTGCTGCTGCTGCTGCTGCTGCTGCTGCTGCTGCCGCTGCTGTGGCGGCTGCGCCTCCCCCACCTCCCCAGGGCGGCTGCTGTGGCTGCTGGTGCGGCTGCGGCTGTGGGGGCAGCTGCGGGGGCTGCTGCAACTGCTGTGACTGAAGATGCTGCAAAAACTGCTGGAGTTGCAGTTGAGGAGAGGGAGTGGTGAGGTTAAGGTGGGAGGGTTGATAGAGAGGGAGATGTTGAACATCATCGACAGTGGGACGACTTGCAAGAGCGGACCAGCGGGGGGGGGTACCATGGTTACCACGATCAAACCAGGCATCGTCCAAGACGCCGAAGCAGGTGGTTATGGGGTGGTTGGTTTGACCGCAGGGTTCCCCAGCGCGAGGGCCGTGACGGCGAACGTAGGGGCAGGGGGGGAGTTGACCAGGTCCGCTACCACCACGTCCACTTCCTCCAGGGCCGCCCGTGCAAGAAGGAGTGCGTCCACCAAAGGTGCCACCACGTCCACCACCACGGCCGCCACCACGCCCACCTCCACGTCCGCCACCGCGACCACCACCACGCCCACCACCGCGTGTCTGGGTGGCGTTGAGTTCTGGCGCGGGTGCTTGAGCCGTGTTGAGAGAAGGCGGGTTGGTACGAAGGAGGCGGGTTTCGGTGTCAATGATCCATTGAACAACAGCAGCAACATCCGCAAACGGCTGATTTTCGCGGAAGGCAATGACGTGCATGTCGTAGGACGGGTTGAGACCGCGGAGAAGGCGATCTATCTGGATGAACTGGGGGAGTTCGGACTGGCGAGCCTTAAGTCGCTTGGCGAGAGAGGTCATGCGGCCGGTGTAGGCGACGGCACCAGTGCAGGTTGCGAGCGTTGTCTCCCAGTATTCGTCAAGGAGCAGCCCCACGGAGTTGACGTCATGGCGCTCAAACATGGCGTGAAGGGAGGCCCAAAGGGCAGGTGCGTGAAGCTCTTGTTCCTGAAAGTCTCGCATTAGAGCGGGGGGGAGACCACCAAGGATAATATTAGAGGCAGAAAGGTCAGATTCCTTCCAAGCAGCAGCTTTAGCGGTATATTCAGCGAGCGCGAGAGTGTAGCGGTCAGCCATGGTGCGGTGATTTATTATGGCAGCTTGGCGCATGTCGTATTGCTCGCGAGCCGCACGATGGTCCGCTCGGAGCGTGAGGAACCGACGCCGCTCGAGATCGTAGGCTGCTTCATCAGCGGCTTGGCGAACAGGATCCGTGGAGGCAGCGGGCAGATCTGGTTCGTCAGGTTCAGGTCCAGGGTCAGGCGGGAGAGTGGGGGCCGATCCAGGGGACATAGGGGGCGTTGGCGGGAGAGCGGCAGCATGGCGGAGGACAAGGTCGAGGAGGGTGGAGGAGGTGTTGGGGATGTGGATGACGCCGAGGAGGCGGCGCATGCTCCCTGCTTACCAGTTGATAGCGCTCTGATCGGGAGCGAGCTCGAGCCGATCAATGGAGAGAGTGTTGAAATTCTGAGGAAGAGAAGGAGCAGCCATAGCAGTAAGTTAGTGCGATGTGAGGGGAGAAAAAATGTTAGTAGCGAGCGAAAGCGAGGCAGGTTAGAAGCTGAGGGAGAGGAGGAGGGGGGTTAGTAGCAGCACGTGGGAGAGGATTGGGAGCAGTAGCGTGGCAGGAGAGGCGGAGAGCAGAGATAGTATGAGAGAGGCAGCGGGAGAGGAAACGGTGGGCGGAAGCAATGGGGGGGGGGGGAAGGGTCGAGGGAGCGGCGGGGAGGAAGAGATGAGGCAGTAGCTAAGTGCCTGGCGGCGAGGGAGAGTAGGAGCAGCCGCGGCGAAGTGTCTTGCAGCGAGGAGAGGCAGTGGCGGCGGCAAATTGCCCGCAGCGAGTGAGTAGAGGCGGCGGAGGCGAAATGCCCCGCGGCGAGTGGGAGCAGTGGCGGCGGCAGCGAAATGCCCCGCGGCGAGTGGGAGCAGTGGCGGCGGCGGCGAAATGCCCCGCGGCGAGTGGAGTAGTGGCGGCGGAGGCGAAATGCCCCGCGGCGAGTGGGAGCAGTGGCGGCGGAGGCGAAATGCCCCGCGGCGAGTGGGAGCAGTGGCGGCGGCGGCGAAATGCCCCGCGGCGAGTGGGAGCAGAGGCGGAGGCGGCGAAATGCCCCGCGGCGAGTGGGAGCAGTGGCGGCGGCGGCGAAATGCCCCGCGGCGAGTGGAGTAGTGGCGGCGGAGGCGAAATGCCCCCGCGGCGAGTGGGAGCAGTGGCGGCGGCGGCGAAATGCCCCGCGGCGAGTGGGAGCAGTGGCGGCGGCGGCGAAATGCCCCGCGGCGAGTGGGAACAGTGGCGGCGGCGGCGAAATGCCCCGCGGCGAGTGAAGCAGCGGCGGCGGCGGCGAAATGCCCCGCAAGGAAGAAAAGCGGTGCGAGAGTAGTGGCGACGGCGGATAGGTCGCGGCGATTGAGACGCCGGCAGCTGAGAACGTAAATGCGGCGGCAGGAGCTGAGGCGAGAAATTCGCCTTACGAGAGATAGAGTAGGAGCTGGAGGGAGGTGGTGACTGGTTGTACTTTACGGAAGATTGAACTTCAACCAAGTCAAACCCACGCAACAAGTTGCATGGGCAGGACGGAAGGGTCCTGACGAGCGGGGAGGAAAAAAAAACTTGAGAGAAAGAGGTCGAGAGGGGCGTTTGCCAATTGGCTCTGAATACCATGAAAGAATCTCAAGTGTTGTCTTGATTAGAAAGAGTGTCGGTACATATAGGAGATGAGAAGTTTTGGGAACGAAGTGGGGTACCCTCAGCATTTATTGGTGGACCAATCAGATTGGGTCGACCAACAATTGCTGGGGTAACCAACAATCGTTGGAGGGGACCATTATTGGCCCCCCCCCGTCAATTGCGGTCGAGTTGGGTTTGGGGGCGCCCAACCAAAATTGGTTGGGTCGCCTTGACCCAAAGTGTACACCCACTTTAGGGTGTAACACATGCACAAATATAAACATACATTATGCTATATTCTAACAGTGATCTGCATGTATTTTCTCAGAATTCATCCTACAACGGCCTCCCCTCAGTCATTGTATCGTATCCCAGTCACTATCATATCGCCCCCGTGTGCGCATGCCAAATGACATGTGTGCATACAGAGGCGTGTCACACAACCGCCTGTCAGGGACCATCCCCCAGTCCTTCTCCACCATGGCCAGCCTTAGCACCATGTGAGTCTCACCTCCATGCCATGCATGCCATGCCATGCCATGCCTTGCCATGCCTTGCATTGCCATGCCATGCCAGGCCATGCCATACCACGCCATGCCATGCCATCCTGTGCCATGCCATGCCATACCATGGCATCCCATGCCATGGCATGCCTTGCCATCCCATGCCATGCGACCCATGCGATGCTATGCCATGCTGTGTCTCAGCTCCATGTGAGTTACAGCTCCATGTGAGTCTCAGCTCCATGTGAGTCTCAGTTCCATCTAAGTCTCAGCTCCATGTGAGTCTCAGCTCCATGTGAGTCTCAGTTCCATCTAAGTCTCAGCTCCATGCCGCGCCATGCCATCCACTCCATGAGCACCGCCATTATCTGCCACCATCCTGCCAATCAGCATCCATCATACCACCCGCCACATCTACCACGGACCAATGTCGCAGCAATACCCTTTTCCACCAATGTCACAGCCCCATGCGCAACACCCCATGTTCCCCCCTCCCTCCACGGCAGTTGGCTGCACAACAACATGTTTTCGGGGTCACTGGCGCCCCTCGCTGCTCTCTCCTACCTCAGCTTCGTGTGAGCACTTATCTCGCCCTCCATGCATTATCAGCACTTCTCTCGGCCTCTGTTCCCTGTCCGTTCAACAGGCTCTTTTCCTGTCTTCACCAAAACGCCTTTACCACTCTCTATCTCTCCTTCTTTGTCTCCCCATTGCCACTTGCAGCTTCCTATGCTGCAACCGCCTCAACGGATCCATACCGTCCACATTCGACTTTTAAGGCGCCTCAGAAGTTCTCCCTTTTCCCATTGCCACGTGCAGCTACCTGTGTTGCAACCGCTTCAACGGGTCCATACCGTCTACCTTCGGCAGCAGCTTCTTGTACACCTTGTATGCCTCTTACTACAGTACCTTGTGCCATGCGTCGAAATCATGTGTCATGCGTTGACATCATGTGTCATGCGTCGACATCATGTGTCATGCGTCGACATCATGTGTCATGCGTCGACATCATGTGTCATGCGTCGACATCATGTGTCATGCGTCGACATCATGTGTCATGCGTCGACATCATGTGTCATGCGTCGACATCATGTGTCATGCGTCGACATCATGTGTCATGCGTCGACATCATGTGTCATGCGTCGACATCATGTGTCATGCGTTGACATCATGTGTCATGCGTCGACATCATGTGTCATGCGTCGACATCATGTGTCATGCGTCGACATCATGTGTCATGCGTCGACATCATGTGTCATGCGTCGACATCATGTGTCATGCGTCGACATCATGTGCCATACTCCATGCGCGATTCACCATGGCATGCCCTGCCTCCTCTCTCCAGCAAGCATCCATACATCTTGCTCCTCACATCCATTTCGGCCCTTTGCTGTCACGCCTACTCATTACACCAACTCCTCCTTCTCCTTCTGGTCCATCCTCGCCTCATCTTCTTCTCCCTCCCACCTCCACCCCCCCGCCCCCCTCCTCACCACATGTCAGCGAACGGCCTCGCAGGTCCCCCCTCCCACACCCAAAACTCACCTCGTCCCTCCTCCCACACCCACCCCTCCTCCCACACTAACCCCTCCTCCCACACCCACCCCTCCCCCCTACCATGGTCTGCCAGTGATGTGTCAGTGAACGACCTCACAGGACCCCTGCCATCCAGCCTCGGGTTCACCGTAGATGCTGTCAGCCCAAAATTGTGAGTCCCCTCTACTTCTCACCCCTCGGCTTCTGGTCCCTCTGCTTATGACCCCTCTGCTTCTGACCCGTCTGTTTCTCACCCCTCTGCTTCTCACCCCTCTGCTTCTGACCCCTCTGCTTCTGACCCCTCTGCTTCTGACCCCTCTGCTTCTGACCCGTCTGTTTCTCACCCCTCTGCTTCTCACCCCTCTGCTTCTGACCCCTCTGCTTCTGACCCCTCTGCTTCTGACCCCTCTGCTTCTGACCCCTCTGCTTCTGACCCCTCTGCTTCTGACCCCTCTGCTTCTGACCTCTCTGCTTTGAAGCCCTCCGCTTGTGAGGCACACTCTATCCCTTCCATCCAAATGCTTTTCTTTCCAACCTGATCTCTATCCTCCTTTCCCTGCCTATCGATTCCCGTCACTGTGTGCTGCTGTGCTGTGCACCCCTGTCCCTCTGCTCCCGTGTCTGCCCATTGTGCCTCCCTGTCCATCCCTGTCCATCCCTCTGCACCCCTGTTTGGCAGCAACACGTCATTCAACCGCCTCTCGGGGGAAATCCCCTTTGACTTCATCAATGTCAACTTCTACATTCTGTGCGTCACCCCTTCGCCTCCTTCATCCTGTGCTCGCCCCTCCCCCCTTGTTTCATGTGGTTCTTAAGAACTCTCGGAAACCACATGCAACAAATCTCCCTTCCCTCGTGTGAAAAGTCGATTTTTGGGTCGACTAAAAAATCGACTTTTAAGTCGACTAAAAGCTTGACTTTTGAGTCGACTAAAACTCGACTTTTGAGGCGACAAAAAAATCCACAAGCAACAAATCGCCCTTCCCTCCTCTCCCTTGAACAGTCCTTTGGTCATCGAATAAATTTGTAAGAGCACAGCAAAGCCAGGTCCATAATGCGAATATCAACATCAGAACGTGACAAGCTGCTAGGAAAGCGGCCCAGAGGGCTGAGCTTTGGCAAGCCCCCACCACCTTCGCCCCCACCACCCTCGCCCTCCATCTCTTCTTGAACCCAGGATTTAGCCACCCCCTAACCTTGTTTTCGCACCCCCCACCCCCCCCATCTCGCAGTTCCCTCTCCCGAACCATTTCTCTGCTCTGTTTGAAGCGCCTCAAACGTGGCCCCTCCCCTGCCTTGGTTTCCCTCCCCAGCGACATCTCTTACAACAACTTATCGGGCCGAGCGTTCTTTTCCAAGCCAAATGGGGACCGTACTACTAACGCCATGTATGTGAGATATGTCAGTAGCTTGGTGGTGAGCGCGTGTACAGCACAGCACACTGATCATGAATGCGTGAGCAGTCAACCACAGCAACATACAATCACCAGCCACTGAATGTGACAACCCATTCTGCTCTGCACAATCTCTCCTTCCACCATCGCACCAACCACTATTCCTTCCCATCCGCTCGACACCCTCATTCCGCCACACCAGTGCAACCATTATGTCGGACACTCACCCATGCCTGTCCATCCATCCATCACTCTCCATTCCCGACCCTGTCTCCCTAACCCCCTGCACCCGTCACAACCCTTCTTCATTCCCTCTGCACTGCTCGCCTCCTCCATCTGCCAGCAATTACTCGCACAACAGGTTCTCAGGAGCGCTCGACCCCTCCCTCTCCACCCTCACCAACCTCCTCGAGCTGTGCGTTGCCCTCACCTTACCACATCTCTGCCCTCCCGCCCTTCCCACCTGCCACCTCCGCATTGCCTTGCCCTTCCCACCTGTCTACGCACTATGCATATCCCTCTCTGTTGTCTTGTCCCTCACTCTCCTGCCTCACACCCATGCTTTCCTCAACCCCCTCCCCTCCCCCCCATTCCCTCTCTGTCTCTCCTATCACAGCCCCATGCCCCTCTGTATGGTATAGCTTCTCCTATCACCGCCCATACTCTCCGTGTTTCCTCCCCACCATATCCCTGTCCTCTCTCTCCCCCCACAGGGACATGTCAGGCAACCTTCTCACGGGGTCCATTCCAACCGTCATCTTTGAGGCGGCCCAGAAATTGAGGCGATTTTAGGGGCGCCTAACAACGTGTCCCTGTGTTCCCTCTTTCCCCCTCCCCCCAGGGACATGTCGGGCAACCTCCTCACAGGGTCCATTCCAGCCTTCATCTCACGCCTTACCGACCTCACTATGCTGTATGCTCTTGTTTTGCTTTGCGCCCTCGCTCTGGTGTCCATTATTCATGCGGGGGTGCATGCAATGCATGGGTGGTAGAGCAAGGTGGAGTGAGGATGTTCATTCTCACACTCCTTGCCGCTCCCCTTTCCCACAATGGCCTCTCTCCTCGCATGCACCCCTCTCCCTGCCCTCACTCCACTCCTCACCTCCACACCTCTCCCTGCCCACATTCCACTCCCAACCACCTCATTCCACCCCTCTCTCCCGCCCCTGTGGCCGCCCTCCCCACCTGCAGCGACCTCTCTTCCAACCAGTTCACTGGCACCGTCCCGCCAGCTGTCAGCAACCCCACTGGCCTCGTCAGCATGTGAGATGACTCGTCAGCAAATGTGAGGTGCCATGTCAGCATGTGAGATGACGACATGTGTGTGAGCATGTGTGGTGGTATGTGCGTGTGTGACATTGCACGTATGGTACGTCTCTGTCACATCTTATCTTAATATTGGCAACTCCTGCTCCTACCCACCGCCACCCACCCATGTCTACCCCCGCCCACCCTCGTCCACCCCATTCTCCCCCCTTGACCAGCAACCTGGCGCACAACCTCCTGCAGGGCTCAATTCCCCGGGCTCTCTCGCGCCTCGCCTCCCTCACCTACCTGTGCGCCCTCCTCTCCCTTGCTCGCCACTGCTCCTGCTCACCATCTCATGTCTTGCTCCATGTCATGCACCACGTCATGCCATGCAATTTTACTCGATTCTTCGCACTGGCATGCCCACTTGCATGCCGTATGCCATACCTTGTGCGAAATATCATCACCTAATAACCTATACCCCATACTCCACACCCTGCGCTTCATTCCCTGTACCCTATGCCCCATGCATGCCCCCTCCCAGCAACGTGTCATCCAATCAGCTGTCAGGAGACATCACACCGGCACTCTCTCCTCTGCGCTCCCTCGAGATTGTGTGAGGCGCTCGTGTGGGCAGGGGCGTGGGGCTTGTTGCATGGAGCTTGTGGCATGGGGCATGGGACATGGTGCATGGGGCATGGGCCATGGAGCATGAGGCACGGGGCATGGCACATTGGGCATGAGGCATGGGCACGGCACGGTGCAGGGGGCACATTGTACCAGCTTACCACACCATTAATTTCCCTATGCTGTATCACTATGGGTGTTTTGCGTTCCTGCACTCCGCATTCTCGTATCCCCTTGCCTCCCATTGCTTCATCTCCCCTAAATCTCTGTCATTTACCCCCCATGCCCTGCCATTCTCCCACATCCCTCATGCCCTGCCATTCTCCCCCATTCCCCCATGCCCTGCCATTCTCCCCCATCCCTCCATCCCCCCATGCCCCGCACCGCAGTGACATCTCAGCCATCGAATTGAACGGCTCTGTTCCGCCCTTCTTTCGTCGCATGCCCAACATGACCCACCTGTATGATTCAGCATGACCCACCTGTATGGCATGACTCACCTGTTTGGCATGACTCACCTGTATGGCATGACTCACCTGTATGGCATGACCCACTTGAATTTGAATGGCCACGACATGCCTATGTGCATGTATTTTTCCTATATGGACTTTGCATGCCTGTATGTAAACCACTATATTATTTCCCGTGGAGCATGTCGTGTTTTGACATGTCATGACAACTAATCTCAGCATGCCACGTCATGACATCTGATGTCAGCATGAGCCGCCCACCCAAGACCCACAGCAGAGACACATGGGCATCCATCCTCGCCCATGCCATTATCGTGTATGTACATTTACACGATACTGGCATGCCATGGGGCGACTGTGGTACAATCGCCCCATGGCCCCATGACCCATAACGAGGGCCCACCCCTTAACCTTGTCTGTGCCACGCCATGGCAGGGACATGTCCATCAACCTACTCTCCGGCTCACTGCCACCCTCGATCCTCAACCTGCGACAGCTCTCCCATCTGTCAGTCAACTTCCGTATCTATACCACCCATCAGTAATTTCGGCGTCAGAACAGCAGCTACTAGCAACCAGCCATTCATCTTCACCGTTGGTCCTCATGTAGTCTCACCTCCGCCCCTCTGTCCTCTCTCCCCCTGTCCTCTGCCACAACTCACCATGCCAGCAATGTGTCTCGCAACCGCCTCTCAGGCCCTCTGCCCAACGCTGCTGCCAGTCCAGCTCTCATCATGTGCGTATGCCCTGGTAACCACAAGAACCCTCGTAACCACAAGAACCCTGGTAACCACAATATCTCTGGTAACCACAAAGCCCTGGTAACTACCATTCCATTTGAATCTTGCGAGTAGGAACTCCCATCCCCTTCCCTCTCCCTCCCCTTTCCCTCCTGCACCCTTCCTTTCCTTGTGCGTGTTCTCTCACCCGTCGCTTTTTCTTCTCCCATTTCCGCCCACCCACGTGTCTCTCTCTCCCTTCTACTCCCATCCATGCTCTCTCCCATGTCTCCCTGAACACGCATCCAACACGCTCCCATCCCCTTCGCAGCGACCTCTCATTCAACGCGCTCTCAGGGCCGCTGGAGAGGCCCCATATCAACCTCAAGCGCCTGGCCATGCTGTGAGTGTGGGGCCACGCTGTGAGTGTGGGGCCATGCTGTGAGTGTGGGGCCATGCTGTGAGTGTGGGGCCATGCTGTGAGTGTGGGGCCATGCTGTGAGTGTGGAGCCATGCTGTGAGTGTGGGGCCATGCTGTGAGTGTGGGGCCATGCTGTGAGTGTGGGGCCATGCTGTGAGTGTGGGGCCATGCTGTGAGTGTGGGGCCATGCTGTGAGTGTGGAGCCATGCTGTGAGTGTGGGGCCATGCTGTGAGTGTGGAGCCATGCTGTGAGTGTGGGGCCATGCTGTGAGTGTGGGGCCATGCTGTGAGCGTGGGGCCATGCTGTGAGTGTGGGGCCATGCTGTGAGTGTGGGGCCATGCTGTGAGTGTGGGGCCATGCTGTGAGTGTGGAGCCATGCTGTGAGTGTGGGGCCATGCTGTGAGTGTGGGGCCATGCTGTGAGTGTGGAGCCGTGCTGTGAGTGTGGGGCCATGCTGTGAGTGTGGAGCCATGCTGTGAGTGTGGAGCCATGCTGTGAGTGTGGGGCCATGCTGTGAGTGTGGGGCCATGCTGTGAGTGTGGAGCCATGCTGTGAGTGTGGGGCCATGCTGTGAGTGTGGGGCCATGCTGTGAGTGCCTGGCAATGCTGTGAGTGCCACCACATGCCGTTGCTCTTACTCTCATCAGCCCGGCTTCGATGCTCGTGCTGTCTTTGAGTCGTTTGTGCTCTTCTTGCTTTGCTTGCGTCCCCTGCCCCGCCATCGTGCATGCCTCCCCTTCTCGCCCACCCGCCCCCCATTCCTCCCCCCTGCCTCTCGTCCATCCCCCATGCGCCCTCTTGCTTCCCTTCCCGCCCAGCCCCCATTCCGCTCCTGCTCAGCCGCCCATCCCTGCTTCCCGTCCCCCCCCACCCTCCCCCTGCGTCCCGCCCCCCCCCACCCTCCCCTACTTTCCGTCCGCGTCCCCCCCCCCCCTGCTTTTCCTCCGCCCATGCCTGCAGGGCGGTGCACCACAACCAGCTCAGCGGCCCCATCCCCGAGTACCTCTGCCAATCCGTGCTGCAGATCATGTAACGCCCACACCCTAACGTTCACATGCTGTAACGTTCTCATGCACTAACGTTCACTAGGTGCAACGCGCTCATTATGCAATGTTTGGATAGTGTAATGCGCAGATGACTTAGCATTCACACAGTGTAGCATTCAGGTTATGTTACCCTCAGGCCCAGTAGCAAGCAGGCAGGTATGAATGTGGACATCCAGGTAGAGAGATGCCTTGGTGACAATAAAGGCTTGTCATCCATGTGAGATGCTCTTTATCGTGCAAGCAAAGGCTTGCACTGGTGACAATGCATTGCACAGGCAAAAACGCGTTGCACTTTCACCCTGCGCTAGTTGCCTCCTCCCTACTGCCATCCTTTTGGGTGCTGACATCTACCCACACCATCCATCTTGTTTGCTTCCTCACCCCTCGCTCCCCTCACCCTCACCTCCACTCTCGCGTTCTCCTATTGCCTCTTTTGCCCCATGTCTCCACCTGCCCACCTTCCCACCTGCCCACCTTCCCACCTGCCCACCTTCCCACCTGCCCACCTTCCCATTTGCCCACCTTCCCACCTGCCCACCTTCCCACCTGCCCACCTTCCCATTTGCCCACCTTCCCACCTACCCACCTTCCCATTTGCCCACCTTCCCATTTGCCCACCTTCCCACCTGCCCACCTTCCCACCTGCCCACCTTCCCATTTGCCCACCTTCCCACCTACCCACCTTCCCATTTGCCCACCTTCCCACCTGCCCACCTTCCCATTTGCCCACCTTCCCACCTGCCCACCTTCCCATTTGCCCACCTGCCTCCTCCGTCCACCTGCAGGCTCCTGAGCAGCAACGCCTTCTGGGGGGCCCTCCCTCAGTGCCTGCCCTTCCTCTCCTCCGTCCAACTCATGTCCGTTCTCCTATTCAGCCTTCGCCTTTCAACCTTTGCCCTTTGCCCTTTCAACCTTCGCCTTTCAACCTTCGCCCTTCGCCCTTTCAACCTTTGCCCTTTGCCCTTTCAACCTTCGCCTTTCAACCTTCGCCCTTCGCCCTTTCAACCTTTGCCCTTTGCCCTTTCAACCTTCGCCTTTCAACCTTCGCCCTTCGCCCTTTCAACCTTTGCCCTTTGCCCTTTCAACCTTCACCCTTCAACCTTCACCCTTCAACCTTCGCCCTTCGCCCTTTCAACCTTCGCCCTTCGCCCTTCAGTTTTGCCTCCTTCGCTCAGCACCATGACGTTGTTCTCGTTCCTCTTTCTCCCCGCTGCTCCTCGTGTCGCACTCTCGTTTGTAACCCTGACCTCCAATTGTGCTGTGAATTCCTTGCCCTTACCTTCCACGCCATCTCCGCTCCTGACCTCTCTTCTTCCCCTTGACCCCTGCGCCCCCTTACTCTGCGCCTGTCTCCCAGTGACGTCAGCAACAATCTGATCTTCATGGATGCCGCAACCTTCCAAAACATGCCGCCAATCAGCCTGGATCTCAGCGGCAACTACCTCTACGGCTCCCTCTCCCCCTCCCCCAACATCACCCTCTCCTCCTCCTCCTCCTCCTCCTCCTCCTCCTCCTCCTCCTCCTCCTCCTCGCCACCCATCCCCTCTCTCGTCCTCCCTGCGACCCCCCAACCCCAGTCCCTTCCCCCCTGGGCAGTCCAGGATGCAACGAAATCTGAGTGGGCGTGGGTATGGCAGGGGGGGCAGCAGGGGGCAACTGGAGCAGGAGGGGCGAGCGGGGGGAATAGCAGCAGCGCAGCGGCGTGGCTGGCTGTGGAGGGCAACTGTGTGGGGAGTGAGGTTGTGGGGCAGCAGCGGGGGGCAACAGAGTGTGCGGCGGTGTGTGGGATAGAGCCAGGGCAGGGCCCCTGTGGGGGTGCGGGTGCGGGGCAGTGTGTGGTGCAGAGCGGTTGGCCGCCGTCCCTCTCGTGCTCCTGTGCCAGTGGCTACGTTGCTGTCACTGCTGTCGGCACTGCCAATACCACCACTTGCCAGCTGCCGCCCCCTTCCGGTATGTTGAAACAGTGGCTTGAGCTCTTGCCCCCCTATACAGTGTCTACCCAACCCTCTTTGCTGCCTTCTTTAGCTTCACTCCCACTCCATTTTTCCATTCCTTGGCAGTGGCCTCTCTGTCCACGGGTGCCATAGTGGGCATCGTTCTGGGCTGCTTTGCTGGCTTCACGCTGCTGGCTGCTATGCTCGCATGGTTGCTGTGGCCCCGCGGACCAAGTAAGCCCCTCCACCCTCCTTCGGCTCCTTTCCGTCTCCCCTAATGTTGTACCTGCTTCCTGGCCTCCTTCTCTGCTTAATTTCCCTGCCGTTTTTCCTGCGTTACAACTTTGCCTTTCCACGACCCTCATGTTCTCTCCACTCATCTACACACTTGGTCACTCATTAATCTTGGTCGTTCTCTCCCACATCTGCTGTGTGCACAGAGAAGTGGGAGGGGTTGGATGTGTGCGAGCAGTTCTCGCTGCAGCAGATGCTCAAGGCCACCAGCAACTGGTCCGAGGACAATGTGCTGGGCAAGGGTGGCTTTGGCATTGTCTACAAAGGCTGCTCGCCGCAGGGGCAGCTGTGGGCCATCAAGCGCTCCACCATCATGACCAACGACTTTGAAACGGAGGTCAGGCATTCCTCTACTCCCTGTTTTCCCTCCACAGAGCACAGAAGTATAACGGTACTCTCTGTTGTCCAAAATGCTGACCAGCAGATTCCACGTTCGCCTGTCAATTTCCCTCTGCATCTGCCTGCATTGTGTTCCGTGTGCATGTTGCAGGTGCGAGCCATGGCCTCTCTCCACCACGTGCATCTGGTGCGCCTGCTGGGCTTCTGCCTGGACCAGAACGTGGAGACGGGCAGGCAGGAGCAGATTCTCGTGTACGAGTTCATAGACAACAGGGACCTCCAGTACCACATCCATGCCACCAAGCGTGAGTAGCACTCGCACGATGGCAAAATGGTTGCCGGTCGTGTGTGTATATATATGTATATACATTCTGCACAGAGCATGACACCGTCTCTCATATAACTGCGCGTTCTGCTCCATGTACGTCTTTCCTGACCCAGGTCCGCTCTCTCTGCGCCAGAGGCTGCGCCTAGCACAGGGAACAGCAGAGGGCCTGGCATACCTGCACGGTTTTGACACGACCATCGTGCACCGCGACATCAAGCCGGCAAACATTCTTGTGACAGCCGACATGCAAGCCAAGGTGGCTGACTTCGGGCTGCTCAAGCGCCTCACTCACGGCGATGCTGACGCCACACGAGTGGCCGGCACTCCGGGCTATGTGGACCCGGACTACAACCGCACCCACATCATCACAGCCAAGAGCGATGTGTTCAGGTTCGCATGCACGCTCGTGCTCAATCCCATGAACTGGTGCACCTCACTTGTTTTCTGATCTTCCTGCTTGATGCTGAATACTTGTACCATGCACCTCTCTCTCTCTCTCTCTCTCAAACGGTCCTTTGTATTGATTCAGCAGGGGTACAAAAACATGCAGTGCAATCCATGATAACCTCCTTCCCTTAAGCCCCTTAGCTCACCCCTCTTCCCCCCCCCCCCCCTGAGTGACCCTCTAGCCCTCCAGCGTGTGGAGGATGTCCCCCAGGTGCAGTGGCCAGGGGTCCGCTGCCATCTGGGGGTGCGCTGCCTCGATCCCAGCCCTGGCCTTGGTGTGCAGGGCATTCGCTTGGGAGCGCTGGAGGGCCACTGACCAGCGTTGGCTGAAGTGGCAGGCCATCTTCTTGGCCGATTTGGCCAAGGGGTTGGCCCTGAACCTGTTCCTAGCCGCTGCTGTGGCCAGCAGTTTCAGGAACGCCGTCGTGGGGGGCGCGTTTGCCCCATAGGTCTCGACGACCAGGGCGCAGAACACCACGTGTTCAGTGTGTCGGTAGTAGTCCCTCTCCTTCCGCTTCTGTGCCTCCCTTGCAGCCCAACCTGGGGGTTTGCGGGCCGTAGGGTCTCGGTTCTGCAGCACAGGGTCAGTGACAGTGGTGTCTGTGATCCAGGTCTCTCCGCTGTCCGGGTCTTGTACAATCACATCTGCCTTCTTCGGGTCATCCGGAGGTGAGTACATCGCTCTCTCTCTCTCTCTCTCTCTCTCTCTCTCTCTCTCTCTCTCTCTCTCTCTCTCTCTCTCTCTCTCTCTCTCTCTCTCTCTCTCTCGAATGGTCCTTGCATTTCTTTGAGGGGTGGTACAACGGAAGGTGCAAACACACAAGCACAACAAAAACCGGCATCCAAACTATCTCAAGTCCCCTACCTACTCAGCCCCCCCCCCTGTCCGACCCTACTGGTCGAACGGGGCCTCAATCAACTGGTGCAGCTGTCCCTCACTGAGGGGGATGATGGGTCCTCTAAAGCCGAGCTCGTCCGCCACCAAGGCCTCATTGGTCTTGGTGCGGAGGGCGTTGGCCTGCGCCCGCTGGAGGCACACGCTCCAGCGCTGGCGGTACTCCGTCAGAAGCTTCGCTGCTTCGTAGGAGGTAGGAGCTGCGTTAAACTGCAGCTTTGCCGCCAGCTCCGCGCATTGCCGCAGGTAAGCCAGCACCCCCGGCGAGGGGTAGCCGTAAGTTTCCACTGCGAGTGCGTGGAACCCCACCCACGCGTTCCGCCGCGCGTACTTCTCCTCCTTTTTTGCTGCTGCCGCCCTGGCCGCCCAACCAGGAGCTCGGTTGCAGTTCTCGTCCTGGTATGACACCGGGTCCGTCACGGTCACGTCGCACATCCAAACCTCACCGGTCAGTGGATGACGGATGGTGACATCTCTCTCTCTCTCTCTCAAACGGTCCTTTGTATTAATTCAGCAGGGGTACAAACATGCGGTGCTATCCATGATAACCTCCATCCCTTAAGCCCCAAAACTCACCACTCTTCTCCCCCCCCTGAGTGACCCTCTAGCCCTCCAGCGTGTGGAGGATGTCCCCCAGGTGCAGCGGCCAGGGGTCCGCTGCCATCTGGGGGTGCGCTGCCTCGATCCCAGCCCTGGCCTTGGTGTGCAGGGCATTCGCCTGGGAGCGCTGGAGGGCCACTGACCAGCGCTGGCTGAAGTGGCAGGCCATCTTCTTGGCCGATTTCGCCAAGGGGTTGGCCGTGAACCGGTTCCTAGCTGCTGCTGTGGCCAGCAGCTTCAGGAACGCAGTCGTGGTGGGCGCGTTTGCCCCGTAGGTCTCGACGGCTAGGGCGCAGAACACCACGTGTTCCGTGTGTCGGTAGTACTCCCTCTCCTTCCGCCTCTGTGCCTCTCTAGCAGCCCAGCCTGGGGGTTTGCGGGCTGTGGGGTCCCGGTTCTGCAGCACGGGGTCTGTGATAGTGGTGTCTGTGATCCAAGTCTCTCCACTGTCCGGGTCTTGTACAATCACATCGGCTTTCTTCGGGTCATCCGGCGGTGAGTACATGGCGTTCTCCAGGTATACCACCAGCTCTGCTTCCCTTGCCATTTTAGCCACGGCAAAAGCTAGCTGGTTGTGTGTGCGTGTCCTGTCGGGGCCTGTGCTGCAGCGGAGTAGGTGGTTGGGTAGGCTGCAGTCGGCTACGAGTTCTCCACACTCGCACACAGTGGGTACATTCTGTCGGATGCCCATGCGGAAGGCCAGGGCTGCTCGGAATTGTCCCGGTGAGAAGCAAAGGTCCGGGGTCAAAGGTAGGGCCTGCAGCCATGCTCCCGCTCCCTCCCCTCTCAGGCTGATGAGGCGGAGTGAGTGACCCATCTCGGGGGCTGACTGGATGGTGCGTGACTCCTCTGTCAAGGCGTCGGCCTTTGCCGCGTGCACCTCCTGAGAGAGGGCGCGTTGCAGCTGGTCTTGGGACGGGGTTTGCTGCTCCTCCCGGAGGTTTTGTAGCGCCAGCGGTGGCAGGCGCCCCTCCATGTCCTGGATGGTTACCGAGTGCGCTGCGGACGGCTGCAGGGTGTTGTTGTTGGCCCCCAGTGCCGCGGTTGCTGGTAGGTCAAGGGAGCGGAGCAGTCGTAGCGCCTCGGTCTCTCTCTCTCTCTCTCTCTCTCTCTCTCTCTCTCTCTCTCTCTCTCTCTCTCTCTCTCTCTCTCTCTCTCTCTCTCTCTCTCTCTCTCTCTCTCTCTCTCTCTCAAATGGTCCGTTGTATTAATTCAGCAGGGGTACAGACATGCAGTTCTATCCATGATAACCTCAATCCCATAAGCCCATCAACTCACCCCTCTTCCCCTCCCCTCCCCCCTGAGTGACCCTCTAGCCCTCCAGCGTGTGGAGGATGTCCCCCAGGTGCAGCGGCCAGGGGTCCGCTGCCATCTAGGGGTGTGCTGCCTCAATCCCAGCCCTGGCCTTGGTGTGCAGGGCGTTCGCCTGGGAGCGCTGGAGGGCCACTGACCAGCGCTGGCTGAAGTGGCAGGCCATCTTCTTGGCGGATTTCGCCAAGGGGCGGGCCCTGAAGCGGTTCCTAGCTGCTGCTGTGGCCAGCAGTTTCAGGAACGCCGTCGTGGGGGGCGCGTTTGCCCCATAGGTCTCGACGGCCAGGGCGCAGAACACCACGTGTTCAGTGTGTCGGTAGTAGTCCCTCTCCTTCCGCTTCTGTGCCTCCCTTGCAGCCCAACCTGGGGGTTTGCGGGCCGTAGGGTCTCGGTTCTGCAGCACAGGGTCAGTGATAGTGGTGTCTGTGATCCAGGTCTCTCTGCTGTCCGGGTCGTGTACAATCACATCTGCCTTCTTCGGGTCATCCGGAGGTGAGTACATCGCATTCTCCAGGTATACCACTAGCTGCGCCTCCCTCGCCATTTTAGCCATGGCGAAGGCCAGCTGGTTGTGTGTGCGCGTCCTGTCGGGGCCTGTGCTGCAGCGGAGTAAGTGGTTGGGTAGGCTGCAGTCGGCTACGAGTTCTCCGCACTCGCACACGGTTGGTACATTCTGTCGGATGCCCATGCGGAAGGCCAGGGCCGCTCGGAACTGTCCCGGTGAGAAGCAGAGGTCCGGGGTCAAGGGTAGTGCCTGCAGCCACGCTCCCGCTCCCTCTCCTCTCAGGCTGACTAGGCGGAGTGTGTGGCCCATCTCGGGGGCTGACTGTATTGCGCGTGACTCCTCTCTTAGGGCGTCGGCCTTTGCCGCGTGCACTTCCTGGGAGAGGGCGCGCTGCAGCTGGTCCTGGGACGGGGTTTGCTGCTCCTCCCGTAGGTTTTGTAGCGCCAGCGGTGGCAGTCGCCCCTCCATGTCCTGGATGGTCACGGAGTGCGCTGCAGACGGCTGCAGGGCGTTGCTGTCGGCCCCTAGCGGCGCGGTTGCCGGTAAGTCCATGGAGCGGAGCAGGCGCAGCGCCTCTGTTGTAGATGCCAGGTAGGCCGGTGCTGCTTCAGTTGTGGGGTCCGTAAGGCTCAGTCCGCCTAGGGCTACTGGGAGAGTTGCCTGTCGGAGAAGGAAGTTGAACTCGGCTTGTCGGCGTGGCGGTTGAATGCTGGCGGCGGTCAAGGCAGTGTTCAGTAATTCGGCGCACCATGTGTGCCATTCCGAGAGCGGTAAGACGTCAGCTGGGGTAGTGCGCAGCAGGTAGCCGACTCTGCGGCTGATGCAACGAGACAGTAGCAGGAGGGCGTGTTGTGGGTGGATGGACGCCAGAGAGCCCAAGGGGGCTGCCGCGTCTGCCAGGGTGCTGCGGACAAAATCTGAGCAGAAGCTCTGCGACCCCACTGGACTTCCCAACACCCGCACCCCCTCGCGGGTGAGGGGAAGGCCCTCGGGGAGTACGTCCCCTCCTAGCGGCACGGTGGACCACGCCGACGACTTCCTAAAGTTGCAGGTGAGACCGTCCCGTGCCAGCAGCGGCGTGAGCTCCCTGAGCGCTTCCAGCGTCGCCGCCGCGGGTCCAATCATGGTTATGTCGTCCGCGTAAGCGAGGACCGTGACTTCGGGGTGCTCCGTTGCTACGTGCCTGAGGTGCTGCTGGATAGACGCTGCGAATAACAGAGGTCCGAGGGGATCCCCCTGTCTGACTCCCCTTCCGCTGGTGAGTGCCGTGGAATTGAAGCATGGGTCCAGCAGCAGTGGTGAAGATGCTGCGTAGAAAGAGCGTGTGAAGGGGATTAGGGGAGCTAGTGGGGAGCCGATGAGTGCATTGAAGAACGCGCTCCTCTCTACTGAGTTGAACGCGTTCTCAATGTCGAGCTGGAGTACTAGGCTGGAGGGCTGCACCGTGGTGAGGTCTCGGACAGCATGGATGACAAATTCTGCACCTTCAGGGACTGCCACGCCAAATTGTTGAGGTAGGAAAAAAATTCGCGTTTCTCCTTGCAGATCTGAGAGCGCCACCTTCGCCGCCAGCCTAAGCAATGACTCTCCAATCGCAATGGGACGTACCACCCCCCCTGGTTTGGCGAAGGCTATAAGGCGGGACGGGGCAAGTAGTGCTGCGACTTCAGTGGAAAGATTTGTCGAGAGAAGATGCGTAACGGCGGAGTGGAGGTGCCCTAGTACATCGATGTTACTTAGCGCTGGATCGCGGTAGTGTTCGAAAGTTGACCCCGATGGGCCAGCCCCAATTCCCCTGGGGCATTCTCCAAGAACGTCGGAAAAGCGTTCCAGAGTGGTTGAGAATTGCGTGGGTGTGGTGTAGGAATGCACCCACTCGGGCAGGTCATTTTGGGGTGGGGGGTGTTTCGATTCCAGCTGCTGTACTGTCGCAATTGTCGCAGGTGCTGAAGGCGAGGGTTGTAGGGCTGCTAACGCCTTTCGCAGGTTACCCCGTTTCACCAACCCCTCCGCACGTGAGCAGATTCACAGTGGGTCACGTTGGTGCTGAGGTGGTTCGGCCAGGTGCATTGACCCCAAGTAGTCAGTGTACAGCTGGGTCCAGTGGCCACATCGGAATAGATGCATCTGTTCCCGCAGCAGTTTCCATCTAGAGCTGGATCTCCGGCTAAGTCTTAGCGTGAGACGTGGCAGGAACATGAGGACCCGCCATGCTCCCGCGCAGTTAGGCAGCTTGGAGATCCGAATTAGGGCAGCCAGCATACAGGTGGAGTAGTCGTTGAGGATCTGCGGCGGCAGTCGGCGGACGATTGGTAGGTGGGTGGTGGAGGTTAGGAGTGTAAGGTCCCAAGTCATCGCGATCTGGAAAAGATCCTCCCGCGAGGCCAGCTGGGACGCCGATAGTGCCTGGTCCGGGGGAAGCTGAGCCCTGCGATGCTGTCTGCGGCCGGTTCCTCTCTCCTGTTGCTGCGCTTGCCCCTCTCCTTGTTCTGCGTGAGGTGAGGCGGGATCGTCTAGTTGCCTCAGATCTGACGGTATATAATCGTCTCCACTCCCCTCTGTGTTGATATCCCTGTTTCTCCCCGCTTGCGCTGGTGTTCCTCCCCTCGCCCCCCGCCTGGCGAATGACTGGCGCGTGACTCGTTCCGCCGGCTCCCCCAACCAGATTGGGCTCGGCAACTGGCAGGGCGGTCCCCTTCCCGCTTGGCCTGCGCTCCTCTGCCCTCCGCGCGCTCCTCGTCGCCCGCCTCTCCCCCGCGTGCTTCCCCGTCCGCTCCGCGGGGTAGCTGCCACAGGTTCCGCCTGTTGCGCCTGGGAGATCGGCGTTGTCGGCTCCTCGTGTGCCAGTGGAGCGTCTTGAGCGTTGGCCAATGGATTTCCTTGGCGCTCTTGGCCGCGACTGCACCGCGGAGAGCGATCCTGCTCCCCGTCCGCTTCCTCCTGCACGCCCTGCCGCGAGCGTGCCTGTTGCTCCGCCGGCGTCCGCTGATCAGATCCGCCGCCGCTTCGAGGACCAGCGGCGCGAGTTGGCTCCGCGCGCGGGCAGGTCCTTGTCACCGCGGGAGCCCCCGCGCGCGGGGTCCGTCTTGCGCTCCGGCGCAGAGGCTGTGGCGCACCAGGAGCGTTCGCCTCGCCGTCGCTCATCGGCAGCTCGCGACGATAAGCGGGAGAGCCGCCGCGATGATCATCACGGTGCGGCCCGTTCGCCGCTGTCGCCTCGTTCGCCTCGTCGCGTGGCGTCGCGAAGCCGATCCCGTGACCGCCGTTCGCATCGTCATCGTTCGCCCCCTCACCGTTCATCTCGCCAGCGGTCGCCTGCCCGCCAGACGTCTGGGCGTCGGCCCCCAGCTCCGCGTTCGCCCCCTCCTGCAAAGCGCCAACGGCTCTACTCCCCTCGTCGCGGGGACCGTTTTCCTGGCCGCCAGCGTCAGCAGGGCCCATCTCGCCCGCAGTCGCCTGTGCGCTCGAGCGCAAGTGGGCGTGCGCGTCGTGGGCGACGGGGGGGTGACAGTCGCGGCGGAAAAGCGCGTCCAGCGCCGTCCGCAATGGAGCGCCGTCTTCTGGATAGGCTTGATGACGTGGAGAAGGAGCTTCGACGCTCGCGTGCGGGGTCGGCCTCACCATCAGCTCCTCGCGCTGCTCCCGTCGTCCCTCTCTCCGCGCTCCTGCCCCACAATCCCTTTGGATCCCCGGCGCGTTCAGAGCGGCCGCTGCCTGTGGGGATGGGCTTCGTAGGTGCTGGTGGCGGGCCTCCGTGGGCTCAGTTTGCTCCGCCGCGTCCTCTTCCTGCTCCGCGTGATCTCGCCGTGTCGTCTCACCGTGCCCGCGCGTCTGCGTTACTTCCGCCGATGAAGGAAGTTCCCACGGCGACCCTGGCCCGCTTATGGTCGCTGGCGGCGTCCCTGCAGAGCCTTGAGTGGATTCTCCAGGAGTCATTTGACTCCATGCCGGTGAGCCCTCCGAGCAGGTTCTCTCAGAAACCGCGAGCAGATTGTCATGCGGCGGCGTCAGCGCTATTCGCGCTCGTAACGCCACTGCAGGTAGCGCCCTCGCCGGGAGCAACCTCGGCCAGCCAGCTGGCTGACTCGGCCCTGGCTCTGAGGACGCTTGTAGCAGGCCCTGGTACTCCTGTTGACGTTGTAGGCGCCACCGTGTCTGTGGTCCGCCAGTTGTGGTTGAACACGAGCGGAATGCTCGCTGCGGTAGAGGCGGACCGCATGTAGGCGCTCCCCCCTTGCGCGTATAGACCCGTTCCATCCTCTACTTGCTAAGTGTCTATGCTTGCTTTGTTTGTATCGGTTGCTTAAGCTACTACTGCTTGTGTTTCCCCTTGCCATCCCTAACGCGCGGCCGAAGGCCGCCGGTGCGAAGCGCCAAAATTTTCAGCACTAACTGAAAGAATGAGAGATGGAGAGGCCGCCGTGGCCTTAAGTAGTCATGGCAGAGGGCAGAAAGCAGAGGGCAGAGGGTAGAAGGGGAGAGGCTAATCCTCTCTCTCTCTCGCTCTCTCGAACAACACCAAAATTTTCAGCACTAACTGAAAGAATGAGAGATGGAGAGGCCGCCGTGGCCTTAAGTAGTCATGGCAGAGGGCAGAAAGCAGAGGGCAGAGGGTAGAAGGGGAGAGGCTAATCCTCTCTCTCTCTCGCTCTCTCGAACAACACCAGAATTTTCAGCACTAACTGAAAGAATGAGAGATGGAGAGGCCGCCGTGGCCTTAAGTAGTCATGGCAGAGGGCAGAAAGCAGAGGGCAGAGGGTAGAAGGGGAGAGGCTAATCCTCTCTCTCTCTCGCTCTCTCGAACAACACCAAAATTTTCAGCACTAACTGAAAGAATGAGAGATGGAGAGGCCGCCGTGGCCTTAAGTAGTCATGGCAGAGGGCAGAAAGCAGAGGGCAGAGGGTAGAAGGGGAGAGGCTAATCCTCTCTCTCTCTCGCTCTCTCGAACAACACCAAAATTTTCAGCACTAACTGAAAGAATGAGAGATGGAGAGGCCGCCGTGGCCTTAAGTAGTCATGGCAGAGGGCAGAAAGCAGAGGGCAGAGGGTAGAAGGGGAGAGGCTAATCCTCTCTCTCTCTCTCTCTCTCTCTCTCTCTCTCTCTCTCTCTCTCTCTCTCTCTCTCTCTCTCTCTCTCTCTCTCTCTCTTTTGAATTTATTCCTTTGAATTTATTCCTCTGTGTCCAATGCATGATTGCTTGCAGCTTTGGAATCGTGCTGCTTCAGTTGCTAAGTGGAAAATCAACCCATGTTGGCACTGACGAAAAAACGCATATAAGAAAATGGGTACGATCGTCAAGTATGAAATCCAAGGTTCCAGTTGGCGCAAATATGAATGCATATCAGAGAATGTTTGTGCCCATCACAACTCAAATCTGTCTTTTCATTTCTTTCATGGCCGCACATTTATCCTGAATTCCCATTCACTCTGGATATCCTGCCTTTCCTTGCTGTCATGCTGCCTTCCACTGGATTTCCTGCTTATCAGTATTTCACCGCCTCCCCCATGCTTCATCCTTTCCTTGTGTGGATGCCCTGCAGGCGATGAAGAGGGTGGAGGCGTATGAGCTAGAGGAGCTGAGGGACAGCAAGATGCCAGCGGTCAGTGAGGAGGCGATAGTGGACTTTGCAGACCTGGCTCTGGACTGCATCAAGTCTCCCGGCACACGGCGACCCACCATGAAGGATGTGGCATACCGCCTCAGTGCCCTCATTGCCAAGCACTGCCCCGACAAGGAGGACGAGTGGGAAAGTGTTGCGAGAGACGAGAGTGCAAGCAACGAGGGTGTGTCTTCAGGAGATGTTCCTGCTGTGTCGTTTGGAGATGGTGGGAGGGAGCCCGAGGGGTCTGATGGCTCACACTCTGGTATGAGCTCATTCATGCTTGGCTCGATGGGTGATGGCCTCTTGAGTTGGCTGCAATTGAAGCCAACCAAAGGGCGCTGAGATTGCCCATTATGCCTATATGTGGGTTCAGGGTTTAGAAGATTACCTTATTCTCCTGAGGCCTGACTAGGGTGTCACATGGTCTAAAACCACTTGGTGTTTGTCCTTGAGACTTTTCCACCCGTGTTCCCGTATCCTCATATTCCCATGCTGTGTTGATGTGGTGTTGCAGCACCACTTGAAAGGAGGACCCCTGGGTTGATCAATGCTTGGTGCTTGTTGCAGTTAAGCAGAAATTAGTCAGGAAGTCGTAGAAGACCGTAAGGAATTTTCTCGATATTCCTTAGCGCGCCCTGCAACATCGCGTACAGCAGCAGCCGTTGTTCGCCCGTTACCAGGCCCCTAGATTCGTTTTGAGGTAGTCTGACGCCTCAGAGTACACCCCTCTTCCTAGGCTGGCTGTCAGAGTTACCTATTTTTTTTAGTCTGAAAATTCAGACAAGCACAACTTTTTTTGTCTGAACTGTCAGAGTTACTTCAAATTTTAAGATGTTCATGCAGTTTCATAGCAGCATAGTTATAATAGCATTGAAGCTGATTACAGCATACCAACGCAATTGTGCGGCCAGAAATGGGGCACTCTGATTGGTCATTTTTCAAGAGTTAGGGCGGGTCAAACTTTGCACGTTTTCGCAGAAAACCCCACTCAACCATCTCGTGTTTAAATAAGACCGCTCTGGATCAAGCCTAAACCTCTTTGAACCGCAATCGGACGTACTCTTTTGACCCGCCCTTAGGAACACTGAGCAGTCAGGGTCGAGGTGTGGGCATCAGACAATGGCCTCGTGCAAGTGCCAAGTGTGGCAAGCTCACAATCATCTGACCTGGCAGCTCGGCACTTTTCTGTGCTGGGCGCACTGGCAGCAGCAGCAAGAGTTTTCAACTGTGTACACCGTATGTGCGCGGAATATTTTCTCCTAAAGTTGCAGCTTCGAGATTTTGACTCGGTTTGGCAAGGGGAAATGATGTGCGGTTCTGCTGAAGTACGAGACTCATATGTGACAAGGCTTTCATTTGCACCAATTCACTTTTCGCCATGTGCGATTCGCTAAAATCGTTTTGGCCATGTGCGATTGGCTATCTAGTTTCACAATTTAAGGGTTTTAATAAGCCCCCAATAAATTCCACTCTCGTGATAGCGTCGACAAAGTAGTGTATTCTGGTGCCCCTACTCGAGCAGTTTCATCCGGAGGAAAAGAAGTTTTGAGGAAGTTTCGTTCCGATAACCTTTCATTCAGGCTGGCAGAAACCCCTGTATAACTGGTTTCAGAGTGGATCCCCGATACAAGTCTGAGGCTCAGCATGCACTACTATGACTACTCTGAAATTTCAGACTAGTCAGTTAAAAAAACTCTGAAAAATCAGACAGGGTGCATAAAAAAATTCTTTGAGTTCAGACTAGGTAAAAAAAAAAAGTCTGAACGGACTCTGAATCAGACTCCAAAGTCTGATATCTAGGGCCCTGCCCGTTACTGCTAACGGGGCTTCGCCGACTTAGCGCGCACTGTTTCACCAAACCTCGCCCTGCTAGCCTGGCCGTGTCGGCCTACGCTTCGGGACTAGCCCGAGCCTCGCTTCCAGCATAGCACTAGCTAGCTCGCACGCACCGCGTTACCGTTTGCATATTTCGCGTATAAATGTTCGCTCATGCCTTCGCTCACATTTTGTACTCGTTTGACACCGTAGTCAGGGCCCTCGTTACCAGACCAAATTGGTCTGATTTTCTGATTTTCAGACCTTGATTTTGGGTTTCATCTGATTTTCAAGACGAGGATTTTTACTTCGTCTGATCCGTAAGATTACGAAATTTAGTTCATCTGATTTTTCAGAGCAAGCCTTATACTTAGTCTGAAATTTCAGATAGCGGGTTGCAATTCGTCTGATACCGAACCCCCTCCCCCCCCCGACCCCTCGCTTCTCTAAGCCCTTCGATGCCCTTGCTCCTCTTCCAGGCCTAGTCCAGACCTTCTCCCCCTCCCCCCCAGCCTTAGGTCCCCTCCCCAGGTCCCCTCCCCATGCCCCTTGTGAAGTCTCGCACCAGCCCAGCCCCCCCTTCCTTCTCGCGTCCCTCCACCCAACCTGATCCCTCTCAGCACCTCAATCAGGGCCCAAAATATCAGGGTAAAACACCCTGATTACCCTGGGGGCCGGCCGCTTTTTCCGGATTACCCTGCTGAAATCAGGATTGCGAAATAGTTACCCTTCTCTTAAAAGAGCATGTTTTATTTTACCCTGCTAGGTTTTTAGCTTACCCTGGCGGAATCAGGGTTTGGTGTACACTACCCTGTTACCGAATCTTTTCTAACGCGAATCAGACCATAGTCCGCGTGGTGACAAAACGTACAACACCTCCACAAACACCCGTTGTCGCTCGTGCCCACGCGCATGGAAACTTGCATCGTAGTTGGCAGCACGCCAAGAATCCTCATTGGTTGTTTCTGCCGCTGGACTGCCAACAATTATTGATCCTCGTCACTTATCGCCACGCCCACCGCCATCACAGCAGAATTGGCTGTCAAGGACAGCTTCAAGCTGTCCTTAACAACAACTTGCAGCCTCAGTGCTGCCTTGCTGGCCATAACAGGGCCCGCCCCGTGGAAGAAACGGCCAGTTGCGTGTGTTGACTTCATGGACTCTGAATGTGCTACTTGTGTATATCATTAAAAATAAGTTAACTCACAAAATAGATACAAAAACAGGCTTAGCCTAAAACTACCCTGCTCAAATCAGGCTAGTGGTACATTTACCCTACTGAAAACAGGGTATGAAATTTTTTACCCTAGGGGTCTGGTAAAGGAGGGGCTGGTACCCTGATTCGTAAGGGTAGGCCTAAACCAATTTTGGGCCCTGACCTCAATGCCACGTGCATGCCCCTCAACAGCCACACGCCTGTCAGCTAGCGAGCTCTCAGCGCCGCGCCATGGGCGCGTTCATTAACAAAAACAAGTGTGATTATGCTAGACAAGGGTGTTAACTGAATCAGACTACGCAAATCGTATAGTCTGAAAAATCAGACTGAGCTCCAACATTCGTCTGGAAAATCAGACCAGAAAAATATGCCCATCTGATCGTAAGACGGAACGATTTTTTACTTAGGTGTTTTCAGACAAGCCCAAATCCTAGCAAGAGCCCTGACCGTAGTGCAATTCTCGCTACTTCGATTCATTGCACCCGTAACAGTTGGTATTCATAGCTTCTTTCTTTCGGACCGCGCATCTCCGCACCCCAGGAAATCAACTTTTGTTTTTTCACTCGAAGGGACTCACGCACCTTAGCCCCTAGGAGCCGCTGTCCTCGCGTTCTCTCGTAAACGCTTGCAGCCACGACTGCGCCTAGACTAAGACGAGCCAACGCCCTTCGAAATGGCCGAACGCATTGACGTCACCACCCTCACGCAGGACCGCCTGGACGAGCTGCTGCGACAACTGCACGAAAGCTCCGAAGAAATCGTGGCATTAACGGCGGAACGCACCTCCCTGCAAAATGACCTCGCACGAACACAATCCCAAGCGCCTGGCACTCCGATACAACCCGCACCACAGACATCGCCACACGGAAGTGTGGGGCAACCCGCGAGCGCGGCCAGTGATGGCGTCGTCCGCCACGACGGAGACGACGACCACGACACGACACACCCCGACGCGACGAATGCGGCCAGGAATCAGCCTCGAGTCACGATTTCCGTGCCGGCCGGCGAATCGACTCTACCGTCGCCGATGCCGCTGAAGCCGCAGCGTCCGCCGTGTTTCGACCCGAGTCAACGGGGTGGTCCTACCGTTCAGGCGTGGCTCTTCACGTTGAATGTTTTCTTCGACGCGAACTACGTCTCGGAGGATACGGCGAAGATTCGTTACGCCGTGTCGTTGCTGCGAGGACCCGCCATGGACTGGTGGCGTGTCATCGTCACGAAGCCGGAGGATTGCGCGACTCTACCGACACGGGAAGGACAAACCGGACCCTGGGCGCCGTCGTATTTCGTGGAGGTGCCCCAGTATCGCACGTGGGACGCGTGGTGCGCAGGTCTGCGCGCTCGTTTCGAGCCAATTGCGGCCTCGATCGCGGCGCGACAGAAGCTCCGCACTTGGCGCCAACTCGGTTCCGTCCAAGACTACACGAGCGGATTTCTGGCGCTATGCGAGCAGGTGGGATACATGCATGAGAGCGAGCGCATCGACCGCTACATCGGCGGCCTGAAGCAGGACATCACTCAGGAAATCCAGCTTCGCGGCGTCACCGACTTTCAAGAAATCCTCGCTATGGCGGAGAAGCTCGATTTCTTCCGCCGACCGAGACCGGGGTCCTATGGAAGCAGTAATCGGGCGCTTCGATATGTGCCGTCGCCGCAAATGCTGCTGCCGCACCATTCAAAGGGCGCTTCTTTGCGTGCAATCGGCCGGGACACCGTAAGAGCGAATGCCCAGAAAACGCTAAGGGAAAGGGGGAAGCTGAGCAGCAGAAACAGACCAAGCAGCAGGGAAACGCTGGGAGTCAGTAGCAGACGGACCCTCTACTGACAGGTCACGCCGCTCGCCCGACCCAACCGACCCTCACCGAGTGATTGTGCCGGTTCACGCAATCGACCACACCCGGCCGAATAAGGAGGGTACTACGGTAGACAGCCCCACACTGCTTAGTGGGAAAATTGGGACGGACTTAGTTAAAATCTTCGTAGACGGAGGGGCCAGCCACAGCCTTATCAACACTGCCACAGCACGGAAACTGCGACTGCCACTGGATAGATGCTTACCTGAGATCGACGCAAGACTGGTCGACGGCACGCCACTGGCGATACGGGAACGTGTGGACCGAGTTCGGATTCGATGCGGGGGTAACTTCACGTTTAGCCAGGAAATGCTCGCAACGACCCTCGACGAAACCGACATTTTACTCGGCCGTGATTGGCTGCGACGACACAATCCACGAATCGACTGGACGACGGGTGACTGCACTGTGCGAGTGAACGGTAACAACATCGCCTTACCTCGCTGGGGCTCGCCTGA